ATCTCTAGAGAAAAATCGACAGAAAATCGTTCGAAAAATTATATTTTCAAATTTCAATTTTGCATATTAAAATAAATCATGCCAAAAAGCAGGACAATGGCTGCAATAGAGGTAATATATGTTTCCTTTGCCATTTCCACACACACACACAGACTCATTTTCCCCTTGCTTTTTGCAAATCAAACAAAAGACTTGAGACACAAACTTTGCATTCGGTCACTTTGGTTCCTGCCTCTATTCTGGGGGCACTTGCATTCATTTCCAGCCATAAATTTAGCTATTGTTTAAATTTTCCACACACACACACACACACACACGATGTAGATGGAGATATAGACAATGATCATGTCACACGACGCCTCCCGAAATGGACTTTCTGTTCACGTAACTGCCACTCATGTGTGGCACGCAAATTGAGACATTCATTGCACAGTTTTGTTTCTTTGAATTGTCTTATGCATATTTTTGTTGATTTTTTGTTTGTAAATTGTAAAGCCAAACACATATACACTGCACACACACGCACACACACACACACACACACATACTCGATGGAGGATTGGCCGTAGCGATAAGCGCCCTTACGAGTGGGGGGGTACTCACTTCCAAGGGTTCGAACTTTCGGTGCGGATACGACTCGGCTTGGATTTCTGTGGAGTGGCTTCCGTATCGCGAATTGAATCTGTTGAATACTCAGCGGCAACTGAATGGGAAGCGGGCAATTGGCTTGAAGTTATACTCGGCCCAAAGGAAACTTAACTCGACCGAGCAGCACCGCGCGCGCTGTAAGCGTCGCAGTCAACGCCAACGCCAACGCCAGTGCACACACATACAGATGATAGTTTTAACAGTTAACACAGATACGAATGTCAGCGGCAGCAGCAGCAGCAGCAGCAGTGGAGCTCCTCTGTGCAGGCAGGTGTCTGCTGTCGGTGTCTTTCCGGGTAGAGTGTGCCGAAAACACCGTAAGATGATCTTGCCCTCCACCAGAGACAGACAGACCCATAAAAAACCGAAAGCCCAGACGAAACTCGGGCAGTGCTACGATGAGTCCGAGTACGATTATTACACTCAAATTGAAACCAATTAAACGGCACTTAAAAAGCTTAAAGCAATCTCGATGTCCCGCTCCGCTCCGCTCTGGGCAAGGGCAATGCTAATGGCAACCTGGCAGCCTGGCAACCCTACTCCGAGAAATATCCAAAACAGAAATTCCCCAAAAGCCCACTACCACCTCCCCCCCAAGCAGATGTTGGAAAAAAAAGGACAGATTCAAGAGACGAAGTCGGACCAAACCAAGGCCAGCCACTTGATGGAGAGGCTCTTTTATGCGGTGGCATGGCCCTAAAAAACTGCATGTCATCCATGGAAACAAAACAGTTGCATATACTACAGATGTACATATATACATAAATATATATATATACACACACAGATTGGGATGCAATCGTGCAATTTTTGGCTGCAGAAAATATATGCATACCCTGGACGAGTAGAACACTTTCGGGTATATTACGGGCTATAAGGTAATGTATTTATGTTTAATGCAACAGAAGATAAGGTGTAATTTCAATATAGATATTCCAGAATTTTTGCGCTTTAGCAGGACTCTAGTAAGATTATCAAATGTGGTAGAATTTCCTTCAATAGCGTAAACAAAGTTGTTTGTTATCCTCCAGAAACATAAAAATAGCCATGGATGCCACAAGAATATAATATGAATATGACTATCAAACTTTGTATAATCTTGTCTAAAATCAATGTCCACCCATGCACCAACTTGTATTCAGATTTAAAAATAGTTCTTGTAGTCTTAGAATATTCTCTAAAAGAGAAATGCCCAGCATTAGGCATCTTTCAGTCGTAATACTGTTGTAAAATGCACCTACTTGATTGGTTTGGGAACCTGATTCACGGGCTGCAAGTCAATAATAGCCAGGCAAAAAGCTGACCCGTCTGGTTGGTTAGTTACTCACCCGGAATGAGGGGTACGAAACGAAGTGCGGCAGAGTTACAGCTGTGGTAATGGACGGGAGATGGCAGGCTGGCTGTGGCTGTGGCTGTCGCATGCAATCAGTGCACAGGATCGCCAGGGAGTTTCACAACAGTCGAACCGCCACTCCCCGACACAACAAAAACAAAATAAACTCCAGCATATCCCCTTTAAATAATGGTCACGCGGTGACGACCTTGAATCTTGTGCTGATTCAGCAACGTGTCCGTTACGTTTTCCTTTTCGTTTGTGGCTCTAAGGGCATTGCGGTTAATAACAGGCTTCTCGGGCTCATCAACAACATCATCATCATAATCAACCACAACCAACAGCAAGAGCAGCAGCTCCCCAGCCACAGCCACAGTTTCATTTTCAGTTTCATTTCCCTTTCGTTTCCTTTGATGACATAATTTGTTTTGGCAGCTCCACACAAAACCAAACAACAGCTCTTTGGACTGCCCTCTGGAGTATCCCAATTCATGGTTTCACTCTAATTGATTCTGTAGACGTCAGACCGGAGGAAAATATTACTTGGCACTGCCCTGCAAATTGCCGCTGAAAGGGAACTTCCAACCATGTTCTATTTTGGGGCGGAGCTCTAATAATGCGGAAAAGATAGACTCTCGAGCAACGACCCCTTGCCAGGGTCTTCTTGGCATCTTTTTTTGTTGTGTCTCAAAATATTTCATTTAAAGTGTTAGGTTTGAGCTCCTAATCGAAATCTCTTCTTCAGGGTATTCCCTAAGTTCTTTCTGTCCTCTGGATTAAATTGTAACGATGCGGAAATGACTCCATCCCACCAAATGGTGGTGACTCTAATTTGACTGTCCACTGACACTCCTTCTATGACCATTAAACGAAACGATGAATATGCATGCAATTACATATAAACGGGTTGCCTTTAAGTTCAACTCGGAATTAATTATATTATGCAATTTTGTATGCAATTGATTACTTGAAGCTGGGGGCTGGAATCTAAAGCTGTAGTTGGAGTCCCCCAGCTTGGCCAAAATGGATTTCTGAGAATTGAAGCCTTTAAAAAAAAAAGAAACCCCTTTAGCTTAATCGGGATCAAGTGAATAGCGCCATAAATCAAGCATAATTGCAAAAATTCTCTTAGCCTTTGTGGCGACGGGTAAATATTTATTATTTATTCGCCAATCGATTAACAGCTAAGTAGAACACATTAAGGTTTGACCCGAGTCAACAGAGCCAGGCTATGGAAACAGAATTCTTTCAAAGATATTTTACATATGATACATACAGGGCGGAACGATGCTGTAAGGTTGTATGCAAGTACATATGTACATTCCGCTTATAAATTGCCCTCAGAGAACTTTAACAGGTTTTATCATCAGAGAATAAAAATAATAATAGAAATTCTCATAACCATTCCTTCCAGGGATTACAAAGATTTTGAGCACATTTACTCTTAGCAGCAGAGCCTAAACACTGAGTGTTGCAATCACGAAACGCACTGTATGTGTTTGCCTTTCGCAGTTTCCATTTGTTCTGTCGATGTTGATGTTTACGCATATCAGCACGCAATATTGTCCAGGTCGTGTCTGTGTGTCTGGGGGTGGGGGTGCGGAGCTTTTGATCCGGAGACCGGTCGACCGGTCCGTAGCGTGGGCTCGGCCGTAGATAGCCGTAGATGTACATGTACATATGTAGAATTCCATTCCATTCCACATATATTTTCCCCTATATTTTCCACTCAAAACAAGTCAGCAGCTTTGTCTACTGACGTACAAGTCTCAACGAAATATGCATTTAATTAGCTGCACCAGCTCCAGGCAATTCCTAAACCGCTTCTCGCTCTGGTCCCCTCACCCCTTCTGGATGCCCACTGAATTCACCCCCTCTGGTTGGCCCTGCTCCAGCTGCAAGTGTCACAATTATTTTATTTATCATTAATGACAATAATTGTAGAAGCCGCCCAGCGAAGAGAGGGGGATTTGGTTGCACCGCCCGTGCATCACCTCTATCTTACTGTTACCATAAATCTTGTTACAGATCTTATGAAAGGTGGTAGGAAACTGTATCCAGAAGGCATCCCATGATTGGCTGTCAATGAAAGATTTTCAGTTTATTTGTATGCAGCTGCTGGGAGCAGCATGTCGAACGACTCTTTAAGTTGTTAATTGGTGGTCGTATACCCTTTGATTTAGGAGACTCAGAACGGTAGACGTGGCAAGACCTAATATGGTTTCAGTATTTTATACTTTTAAGTTATTTAATGGCATAAGAAATCAAACGAAAGTTACTAGTTGTAAGTGCCACAGAACTTTTGCAGCCCCCCAAGTGTTAACTACTCGCATTGGTTCTAACTAATATACCCCATTCATTCCGATATTTGCGGGGTACATAAATACGATACGAAACAATTAAATAAAACATATACTTTTAATTGGCTTGGGACGTGATTGATACCTTTTTAAAACGCAAAGTATTTCACCCAAGTGTTCCGTTTCATAAATAATGTATTCCTTTTATTCTATAGAATGAAAAAGGTATCCGGGCGATAAGCGACATTTAATTTGGATTTCCAGTTAGCGGTTGAGCGTTTCCCAGCCAACCTGCCTTGGGTTCATCTGGGGTCGTTCTCAGCTAAATAGTTTGACAAACTCTATGGAAAAAATGCCAATTAACATTAGGTGCGCCGCATTCATGCGATGGGATGGGAATACTCATGGCTACATGTGTGCCAGGAGTTCAGGGTTATGCAAGTAAACAAAAAATAAGCCCGAACAGAAATACTCACTTCTATAGAATATAGTGAAAGATCGACTGGGAGTAGATTTTAGATTCACAGAATTAGTTTCGCCTGTAGTGCGCGTCATGCAGCAGCGCCTTTCGGTTAGCCGTTTACATTTCCCCCTGAAATTCATGCGTAAAAATCGTACGCCCCAATACCCTAAAGTTACCACTAAACTTTCGCTTTAAAATTAAAAATTTGTTTAAACATTTAATCGATTATTTGATTATTAAAAGATAAGAGTTGCAAGATAAGAGTACACATCGGTTGATCGGTTGGTTTATCAATCGCGGGGATATCGAATTTAGTTATAGAATTATAGAGTATAGAAAGGAAGGAAGCCATGCTTCGAGCGGCGCTCTGCTGCTTAGTAGCTGCGGCCGAAGAGCGTGTAGAACTTGGGCTTGTTGGTGCAGCCGGGATTGATGCACTTGTCGCTGGCCGCAATGGGGGCCGGCTGTTCGAAGGGTATGCACAGGGATTTGGCACCCATGGAGGGAGCACCAGGCTCGGCCTCCTCGTCGCGGGCACTGTCCGCCTTGATCTTGTCTTCGCACGGGGTCTCGCCGCAGAAGGGTGCCAACAAGATGTTCTTCTGCTCGAGGAAGCTGCAAAAGTCGGACCAACTCTTGACGGTCTTTGTGTGGCTGGTGAGATCCGCCTGTGCCTTGGCCAGCATGCTCTCGTGGATGGTCTCGAGCAGAGCGGGGATCTTCTTCTCCACATCGGCTAGGGGCAGGGTGATCTTCTCGCCGGTGTCGCGACGCACGGCGACCAGCTGCTGGGCCTTCAGGTCCTTGGGACCCAGCTCGAGGCGCAGCGGCACTCCTTTCAGCTCCCAGTGATTGAACTTCCAGCCGGGCGAGTAATTGTCGCGGTAGTCGCCCTCGCTGCGCACTCCGGCACCGACCAGTCGCTGCTCCAACTTCTTGCAGGCATCCAGCAGCTGGGCACGCTCGTCGTCCTTGGTGTTGACGGTGATGCCGCAGGGCACAACGATCGCCTGGATGCAGGCCACATTGGGAGGCAGCACGAGGCCCTGGTTGTCGGCATGCACCATGACCATCACGCCGATGGTGCGCGTGGTGAGGCCCCACGAGTTCTGGAAGACATACTGCTTCTGCTGCGTCTCCGGGTCCTCGTAGACGATCTCAAACATCTTGGAGAAGTTCTGCCCCAAATGATGGCTGGTGGCGCCCTGGATGGCACGGCCCGAAGCAGAGATGAAGGCCTCCACGGTGGTGGTGTAATCACCGCCCGCGAACTTCTCCTTCTCGGTCTTGCGGCCCTTCACCACGGGTATGGCCAGCAGATGCGTGTAGACCAGAGCATACAGATCGAGAATGTCCAGCACTTCTTTGTCGGCCTCCTCCTTGCCGGCGAAGGCCGTGTGGCCCTCCTGCCAGAGGAACTCGCGCGTACGGAGGAATGGTTGCGGATGCTTGAATTCCCAGCGCTAGAAAAGACAGAACAGATTGAGGATTAAGGGTTTTTCCACTGCAGAAAGGTGTCATCCCACTTACCACGACATTGTTCCACTGATTGAGGCGGATGGGCAGATCTCTGTAGGACTGTATCCACTTGGCGTAGGCGGGATACATCACAGTCTCGGAGGTGGGACGCACGGCAATGGGTTCGGCCAGATCGGAGTCGCCCGACTTGGTGACCCATGCCACTTCGGGGGCAAAGTCCGCTATGTGCGTCTTCTCCTTCTCGAGGACCGCCTTGGAGACGAAGATGGGGAAGTAGCACTCCTTGACGCCCATGCGCGTGATCTCGGCATCGAACCACTGCTTGATGAACTTCCAGATGGCGAACGACCAGTGGCGCAGGATGTAGCACCCGGACACGTCGTAGTACTCGATCATCTCGCCCTTGGTGATCACCTGCGAGTACCAATCGGGCAGATTATCCTCCTTGGTGGCCTCCAGGCCCAGGCGTGTCTGCTTTTTGGCACCGCCCGCCGCTGCATCCGCCGCTGGCTCCTTCTTGACGGGCTTTGCCGCCTTCGGTTGCGCCGCCTCCTTGGGCGCCTTTTTCGTAGCTCCACCACCGCCGCCTCCACGTCCGGCCACAGGGAAGTCTGTGCCCGTGACCTCCTTGTACTTGGCTTTCAGGGCCAGCAGCTTGGCCACTTCCGCATCCACCACCTCCTTGGCTGCCTTGCCACCCTTCACCGCCCTCACCTTCTCCCCCTGGGCATTGATTTCCAGCGTCAGCTGATCCTTGGCTGGCGACGCCATCTCCACGGGACTGGCTTCCTTTTTCACGACTGCGGGCTCTGCCTTGGCGTCCGGTGTCCAATCCTTGCCGCTCAGCGTCTTGTATTCACCCTTGAGGGCCAGCAGTGTCTTCACTTCGGGTTCAATGGCGGCCTTTGCTGCCTTCGCCGACTTTAGTTGGCGTATCTTGTCGCCCTGGGCCTGGATCTTCGTCAAAACGGATGAAATATCGTTGTCAGAATCCCCTCCCGTCAGATCGACAGTAGCCACTGGAGTGGCCGCTGCAGCGGGTGCCACAGTGCCTGGCTTCCAGTCCTGCCCTGTCAGCGACTTGTAGTCCGTTTTTAGGGCCAGCAGCAGCTTGACTTCTGGCTCCACTAGCGACTTTTCCGACTTGGCAGCCTTCAGATCGCGTATCTTGTCGCCCTGCTGTGCGATCTTTGTCAGCAATGTGATAACGGCTGCCGGGGGAGCCGGCTCCGGAGACTTTTCCTGCTTGACTTTGACTGCCATCGGGGCTGGAGCAGGGGCTGTGGTGCCTGGCTTCCAGTCGGTGCCAGTGGCTGCCTTGTAGTCCGCCTTCAGGCCGAGCAGCGTCTTCACGGCTGCGTCGATGGCGGCCTTGTCGGCTTTGGCTGTTTTCAGCTCTCGAACTTTGTCGCCCTGGGCGGTGATCTGAGCTAGGATGTTGCCTACCGAATCGTTGGCAGTGGAAGGAGCTGCAGCTGGTCCTGTAGCGGGTGCTACAGTGCCTGGTTTCCAGTCCTGTCCGGTGAGGGATTTGTACTGGGCTTTCAGCTCCAGCAGCACCTTGACAGCAGCGTCAATCTCTGGCTTGGCCGCCTTCTTGCCCTTGAGGTCGCGCACTAGTTCTCCCTGCTTGACTATGTTGGCGTTGACTGACTCTGCGTCGTTGGTAGCGGCAGCTGGGGCAGGTGTTTGTCCTGGTTTCCAGTCCTTGCCAGTGGCTGCCTTGTAGTCCGCCTTCAGGCCGAGCAGCTTCTTCACCGCAGCATCGACTTGCTCCTTGGGGGCCTTCTTGGTCTTCAGTTCACGCACCGAATCGCCTTGCAGGCCAATCAGTTTGTCCAGTTCCGCAGCCTTGTCGTTGGAAGCTCCAGCAGATACAGTGCTGGCTGCCGGAGAGGATGACTTTTTCTGCAAGGTAAACAAATGGCTTTAGGTTTCCACTTTCACAAGTTTGTTTGCGTTTGGGCACGTCAGCAAGTGGGAATGGAATGGAAGGCATTAATGAAGCTCTTGGCTCTTCTTCTTTCGTCGCTTACAGAGGCTCGTGGCAAGGGCTATCGAAAGAGAGACAGCAGATCGCATAGAGTACCTGCTCGCTCCGACAGAGGGCGGCACACAAGTGGAGAGTAAATTGAAGGCAGAGAGAGGGACAGAGCCACAGGTAGAACAGGTCGCTCTTTGAATACTCTACCAAAAGTAATGGATTGGATGAATGGGAACAATTTGTTCTCTTTCGGAAAATGGGGGAGCATCATTTGTACTTGATAATTACTTTAGAATACATTTAAAATAATGACGATGAATAAAGCAGAAAGTATCTAAACAATCTCCACAATACAAGATATTCCGTTTCCCCTTTAAAACAAAAAAAGTCTCCACAGATATCTCTGTTATTTCTTCCCTTCTCCCCACCATACATAACTTTATAGTACTCACCGTTGTCTTGGCATCCGCTGCATTGATCTTGAGGCCAGAGGTGGGCACATCCTTGGTATGGCCATCGGGAATGGAGAACAGAATGATGGGCGAGGGCACATTCGAGTACGGACTGGGCGGAGCATAGGCATTGTCCACCTTGAAGAATCCGCGACGCTGCAGCTGGATGATGTCGCCCTTTTTGCACTTCTTCAGCTCGGGATCGCCCAGCATGGCGACCTCGTCGCGTGTCTTGTGGCCAATGAACTGCTTGAAGTCCTCGTCCTTGCCAAGGACAGCCTTGCTGATGATGTTGTCGAAATATACGCAGAAGGTGGGTGGATAGGCAGCGGGATCGGATTCCACAGCCAGCCACGTCAGCTTGAGGGTCTTCTTGAAGTCCTTGTTGTCCAAATTGAGGGCAGCATCGACGGACGTGATGTTGCCGGAGCCATCCTTGTGGACTTTCTTGATCAGCAGATTTCCCCAGTTGATGAAGGTGGCATTTTCGCCCTCCTTCAGGGCCTCGGCATCCACGTAATCAATGTAGATGCCAGGTCCTAAGGTGACAGTTTTCTTGCCCAGTGCTTCATCCTTGGGATGGACCGGCACTTGGATGTGCTCCAGTTTGGCCCCCTCCACATTTACAATCACACGCTTTTCCTGCTCGAGGGCCGTGTAACGCGGAGCAATGGGATCGATCACCTTCTTGTTGAACGCCCAGATCTTGTCCCAGTTCATGAACACCACAGACTTGCTGCTGCCCTGGGCAATAATGAACTCCCGGAGACCCTCAACGGTCATGCCGCGCCGGAGGATTCCGCGCACTGTGGGGAAACGAGGATCATCCCAACCATCCACCAAGCCAGAGTCCACGAACCACGTGAGCTTGCGCTTGGACAACACCGTGTTGGTCATGTTCAGGCGACTGTATTCCCAGATGTACGGCTTGCGCAGCTTCAGGGCATCGATGAACCAATAGAACTGATCGTCCCGATCGTGATACTCCATGGTGCGCAGTGTGTGGGTAACATTCTCGATGGCATCGACAATGGGGCAGGCAAAGTCATATGTTGGATAGACCCTGCAAGAGAGTTCAGGTTCAGGTTCTTTAGGAGTTCTAGGTGAGATGCTTAAGGGGGTTACTCACTTGTATTTGGTGCCTGTGCGGGGATGCGGCTCGTTCTTACAGCGATAGATGGTGGGATCACGCATGCAACCATTCGGCGAGGACATGTCAATCTTGGCACGTACGCAGCACTTCTGTCCCGCCGCCGAGCCATTGACCATCTCCTGCCACAGCAACAGATTCTTCTCCACAGCTGTCATTGGGAGGTCACAAAGTATTTTCTAATTTTCAAGGGACAGTGGAGGCCTGGACTTACAGTTGGATCGATTAGCCGACTCCACGCGCTGTTCGCGCTCCAGCTTCATCTGCTCGGGCGGTGTGTCGTCCACATAGGCCTTGCTCTCCTTCAGCAGCTGGACGCAGTAGTCGAGCATCAGATCAAAGTAGTTGGAGGTGTGCGTGAAGACATCCGGCTTGATCTGGAGCAGCTCCAGGTCGCCGAGAATAACATTCTCGAACTCGACCGTCTCCTTGGCCGGATTGGTGTCGTCGAAGCGCATGATGAGTGTGCCCTGGAAGGCCAGGGCGTAGTACTGATTGAGCAGCGCCGCCTTGGCGTGTCCGATGTGCAGGTAGCCCGAAGCCTCTGGGGGGAAACGGACAATAACCTTGCCCATCTCGGCGCCCGGAAGATCCACGAATTTTCCCTCTTGCTTGCGCTCTCCGGTCTTGGCTGGCGTCTGCTCCTTGGAGGAATTTGGACTGCGCTTCAAGCGCTTCGCCGAGGAGCGGGCCTCCTCCGGCAGCGACTGCAGCACCTTCTGGATCAGCGGCTGGGCAGTGATCAGGTCATACCAGCGCTGGACATGCTGGGGGATGCCCTTGGAGGCGAGGAACTCATAACGCGAGTGCATCTCGTTGAAGAGGGCAAAGTCGGCGATGGTCAGCTTGTTGGCCACCAAATAGGTCACCGGCGCAATGGACTTGTCCAGGAAGGACATTGCCCACGAGATGTCGTCCTCGCAGGTCAGCGAGAAGGACAGCCAATGGTCGATCTGTGTCCGCTCGATGGCCGTCTCGCCGTACAGCTTGTAGTCGGGAGCGGCACGGGCCAGGGCGCGCAGAACATCGTTGTTCGAGTGGCACACCAGCAGGCGGTTGTCCGGGAACTGCAGCGAGGTCTCCTCCTTGCTCCAGACTATCTCCACGGGCACCGTTCCGCTGATAAGATGCGCCGTTGCCAGCCCACCTGCGGATGTGCGTCAATTAATATCCAACCATAAAAAACTGATGCAATAACCAAACGAATCGGTGCTACATTTTGTACATAAATAGACTTTGCGGTGCGTTCCGATATAACCTCACAACGTGCACCGCATATGTTTGCGATGCTCGGATAAGGATGCGAGGGGACACTTACTTATAGGCGGACTGTTGATGTTCGCTGTGAGCTTTAATGACATTTTTGCTGCCTTTGCTTGCAATTTAAATTCGATTTGATGAAATTCCACGAGTACGGTACGGCCAGCTGCTAACGTCTGCACAGTAGGGATGGACAATCTGGCTGGTTTCTACTAAACGATAGTTCGCTGGGAATGGTTAATATCGCAAGGGTAGATACAGTGAGACCTCACTAACAACCACTGTTGTTCATAAATAATTCTTCAATTAATAACTAAAATTACTTCAGTCCAATACTGACATGCCACAAAACATATACGTCGCGAGGATACATATTTGTTGGTGTTAGTGTTGATTCACACTGTGTTCATCATTTCACAGGTGATTAATACACGATTCATATAATTTCAGAATATTAGTTTATAGTTTCTTTGTTGCTGCGCAACCACCAGATCGATCTGGTCTCACAGTCTGCACTTAACAAGTAGTGTAATACGATGAATATTTATTTCTGCCCATCTCCAGTGACTGCTATTCGCTACCATACGTCGACAAGTTCGCTGTTCATGGAAAAAATATAATTTTCCTATTCAATTTGAACAAAAAGGGGCCGCAGATATTAACCACACCAAGGCTTAGCCCCAAAGAATGGTAACGTCAATAAAATCATAGATTAATCGGGGATTCTAAAGAGAAAAATACGGTTTTCGCATTGGGTTTTTTTTTGGTGTTGATGTTGGCTCAGCTCATGTGTCCATGTGTATGTGTGCCGTGCCTGATGACTGTGTCAGTGGGAAAAATTGTGGCTTAAAGAATATAAAAAATTAATGAGTTTTGTAACAAATCGATGATAATTGTCCTCTCCTACGCTGTAGATGCTTTTCATGCTGCTGTTCAGTCGGCAGGGCAAGCTACGGCTGCAGAAGTGGTACATGGCCTATCCGGATAAGGTGAAAAAGAAGATCACCCGGGAGCTGGTGACCACGATACTGGCCCGCAAGCCCAAGATGTGCTCGTTCCTGGAGTGGAAGGACTGCAAAATCGTATACAAGAGGTGCGTCGATGGCATTTCCTTCTCCAAAGGCCACTTTGACCGATCCGTTTGCTCTTTTTGTTTCTGCAGATATGCCAGCTTGTACTTCTGTTGTGCCATCGAGCAGAACGACAATGAGCTGCTGACCCTAGAAATCATCCATCGCTATGTGGAGCTGCTGGATAAGTACTTTGGCAGCGTAAGTGAACCATTTAAAGACAGCTGCCATTGAAGGGAGCATTTAAATTTGATTGATTTTGTCATAGGTTTGCGAGCTGGACATCATATTCAATTTCGAGAAGGCGTATTTCATCCTGGATGAGCTGCTAATTGGCGGCGAGATCCAGGAGACATCAAAGAAGAATGTACTTAAAGCGATTGCCTCACAGGATCTGCTACAAGAGGTCAGTACACCCGAGACATATGATCTGTAATGCCTAGCGGTTGTGTCGAATCTATATATATATATAGACATATGCCGGATATTGTAAATTGTTTTACACATTTATTCGAATCGCTGGTCTTTAGTTTCGTTAACTTGTTAGTGTTTGTTCCCATCTATATTTACTATATATGCCTTTATATGCCATTCATTTCCTAAAAGCCTGTTGCAACCCCGAACCGAATCATAATATTACCTCATACATATATGCATATCATGGTTCTCTCAATCTCTCTCTCTCTCTTTATGTACTATTACTTACTTTTGTTCTTTTGTTTCTCTAATTTGTGCAATCGAAACTAATATTTTTAAACACCTACTGTACACCAAAACCAAATCTAACCAACAATCGAAGCAAGAAGAGTTCTTTTACTCGCTGCAATAGATCCTAAGATACGATACTGTTTGTGTGTGTTGTTCATATTTTTTTTTAATAACTTACTCCTAAATACTGAAGATATTGTAAAGCACACACACACACGTTATAAACGCCTCGAAACTTGCATGCCTCGGCTGTGTGCCACAACACTTGCCCTCCGCCGAAAACGAAACGAATTGTGAGAATATTTCAAGAGTTATTTATACAGTATTGAACTTGCCATAGATATTGCTTAACTATTGTACGTAAAACCTAAAAAGCCAACGTAGTTCCGTCCACAATTGATTGCCATTTACCCTACCTACCTACCTACCGATAATCGGATTACCGGATTACCGGATTGATCTGTAGTCAAATTTTGTGCGTGTTGTTAGCCATAAGAATATCATAATTGTAACGTTGTAGTTTGGATTGTTTTGCATGATCTTTCGTAGTTTGATAGTTTGTTTTCCTTACTAACTAGACATACCTACATACATCCAATAATTTTTGTATACATATAAGCCATACAAGTGTGTAACCATTATACCCTTTCTCTTGTTATTATTAACGCTTTCCCTACCCGCCACTGCATAAATCGATGTAACACCACCACCAACCAACCAACCAACCAACAAACCAACAACAATCGCAGGACTTCAACGAGTATCTGAACTAGAAGAAAATCCCATACCATACCCAAAAAAAAAACATGTGTAAATCTCTGTGTAAAATATACTATGATGTAGAGCACCTGCCCCAGGGGGGCCTCCACCCCGACAAAAGGGTTGGGTAGTGGAGAGTCTAGGTCAGATCAGTCGAGCTGTATATATTATACATATATGTATGCAACATATGCAAAGCTTCTTTCCCCTCTTTGCGCTGTGATGTTTCGTGTTCTCTTGCATCGCCCATTCACCATTCGCTCACTCACAAATGTGCCGTGAAAATCGGAAAAACAAAACATAATACTACTTACCAATCACAGAACACATCTGAATACAGCCACTGAAACTACATACACGCATACATACACATGTACTATTGCTACTACTATTTCTTCCATCTACTCTTCTCGTTCTTATTGTTCTCTCTATTCTGTGTACTCCAGGACGAAGCCGTTGAGGGCACTTTAAGAGATATTGGACTACTCTAAAAAACAAGACAAATTCCGTAGAATCCATGTAGTTGATATTTACACACACAAACACACAACCCACACACGAACAGCAATCCTCTGCGCACAGACACATGCACACAGCACTCTTGTGACACTTGCCAACACTTAAAAGCTCAATGTGTATGCGTATGTGCGTGTGTGTGTGTGAGTTGGGGCTGTTGTACAGCACTGAAACCATGAAGCTGATGAAGAGGAAGCAAGGGAGGCTGCTCCAAAGCAATAAAACCCACAGAGAAAAGCAAAATAAAGTATAAATGATATCGTAGTAATTCCCATGGCAGAGCATCCATACTGGCACACGGTTCCTACACATCTTTTGGTTAATTCTATCAATAAGAATATACGCACACACACACACACATAACATATGTAGATCCAACAGACAGGCAAAAAGTTCATGCAAAACACCTCAAACTCACGTAGAACCATCCAGGGGTTACCTTACCTATCGATCGATCATTAAACCAAATCCAGCAATTAAATTAATATTCCTCTTTTACTATATCTACATGAAAGATCATTCCAAATCAGTCATCAAAATGGGCAATATTTAAATTTTAGAGAGGGGATATATGCAATACTATTTTTACCATAGAAAAAAGTAAGCTTTAATGTGGAACATGAAAAATATATAATTGAAAAAAAGAAAATAATAATAATGTAAAATTCATCCTTTAGTGGTAACTGAATAAACTATAGTCTATATACAATTATAAATATATATATATCCACAATATATGGTATCTGTTCATGTATGTGTGTTGTACGTTTTAGCCAAATTTTCTGTGTGTTTTGTAAAACTTAAAATAAAAAACAAAAGTATTTTTCAAAAAGATAAAAGTACTCGTATACCACTATGTCTATTTTGATGTATGGATAATGGTAAGAACGTTGAACTGCCGATCCAGAGTCTCTAGTATATTATTTAATATGTATCGTATGTCCTTTTGTTTTTGAGTATTTCATTTGATTGAATTGATGTTGTTGCCGTTGTGTCACATTGACTGCCTCTGACCTTGACTCTCTCCACTGTTCTCCACTGTGTTTCTCTCTCTCTCTCTCTCTCTATATATATATTATTCTATCTGTGTCCTGTTCTTTTAGTTGTTAACCTTTCTTTTATAGCATATTTATTGAGGGCTAGCCCAAAAGTTGCCGATGCTTTTATGATTTGATTTCTAAGTACTAAGTACATCTCTCTGCTTCAGTAAAAACCAAACTAAAGCCCAAACTGAAGTAAAGCCTTCTCCCTTTTACAGGATGAGACCCCGCAGAGTTTCTTCGATGATCATGGCCTGGGATAAGTTGGCAGGGCCCCATCAAAATATAACAGTACTTCTTTTGCCTTAAAATGTATGCGTGTATATGTATTCACATCTAACCTTAAAAGTGCATCAGTTTTATTATAGAATATGCTCCCACTATCGCTTGGCAAATGCAATTTGCAAAAGTACATTTTACCAATCCCAACCCCTCCCCTTACACACACATTCATACTTTTAAAGGATAACTTAGAGGATAAGCAAAGCGAAACGAAAGGAATAATCGACGGTGTGCTCAACTCTAGAGATATAAGATAAATCTGATGAAAAGACACCCTATACAAAATATACAATATCCAATATATATCCCAACGTAACTAATCAAAACAAAAAGATCTTTAATTACTGCATTTTATATTCAATTCCTATATCAAATAAAAATCATATCGAGTGTTGTGTCCCTTTGCAGCAATCTGGCCACACTTTTGGGGGTGGTGGGCGGTTGGGGCTGTGTGGGATCACAAGTTGGCAGCTCCTGCAGCAGCCAACAAATTGTTGATTTCATTTTTATTCGAGAGAGTGTGGTGGGGTGTGGGAGAAAACACCGCTGCGTCTCTCTCTCTCTCAGCACAACGGGAGAGAGAGCTGTGGGAGCGGGAGAGTTGATTCCAATCGCAAGGTATATTAACAGGTAACAAAGGTAACAACTAAATATCAAAAACTGTATTAACAAAATGGAGTAAGATCTTTAAATGGATTGGATTCAATATATAGATTCATGTTTTCCCTGAATATAATAACGCTATACGCTCAGGATCAGGTACAACTAGCCAGAAAGCTTTCAAATCTTAAGTGGGATCGTTGCTAAATCAAAAATGGAGAAAGAAATGTTCTGAAAGTGAAAATCGGCAAGACAAGAGCTTAAAGAATGGAACAAAAATCAACAATACTTTCCCTATCGATACTGGAAAATCGGGAAAGGGCGCCACTGTGCGCCGTGAATTCCGTCAGTTTGACAGCTTCGGTGATAAGAAATGTGCGAATTAGTGATTCAGCAGGCGCATGCGCGCTCTTTTACGGCCCGAACGAACTGTTTGCCCATTTTTCCTGCAGCGCGAGAGGCCACCGCCAGCCAGCTAGCCAGCAGTTTCGGTTTACGGGGCACTGCCACTCACAGCACAGAATAGCAGCAGCGGCAGCGCACAGGAGAGAAGAAGAAAATTTTCACACACCACACACAAAGCAAAGAAAAATGTACAAGAAAAGAAGGAAACTCTGCTCGAATCGGTGAAAATTTTCCACACACAAAAAAAAGAACACAGCCCCTCCAGTGTCAGTGGCATAAGTGGCATCAACCGCAGATCGCACAAAAAATGTAATACAGCAGCAAAAAAAAAAAAAGAAAAGAAAAAGATTAACGGCAAAACGGGGCAACGGGAATAACTGTAGTGCGGAACGCCTATCGAGAAAAATCGAGACGGAGTGGAAACCCCAGTGAAAATCTTTGCAGCAGCAGCAAAAGTGTAAAAATTATGAAAATGTGAAAAATTGTGTGTGCAAAAAAATTTTGCAGCTTCTGTGGCGACCGTTGTCTGGCCCCTGAAGTCCCGTGGAAAATATATGGTACATAAAATTCCCGACTCTTCTCTCTCTCGCTCACTCTCTCTCTCTCACTCACTCTCTGGGAGGGGGAGTGTGTGTTGTGTGCGTGTTTGTGTGAAAATTACGTTGTCATATGTGCAAAGTGCGGGAGCATAGGCTAAAAGAAAAAATTCCAGGCAGTGGCCGCCGAGAGGGTCCAACTCCCAGATCTAGACATAAAAGTTCTATCCAAGTCTTGCCTTCGTTGCCTGCTTTTCACCTGTTCTTCAAGTGATTAGCCCTGAAAAAAATAAAACACATCAAAGACAAGGCCATGCAGAGTTTATGTGTGCGTGTGTGTGTGTTTGGGGCAAGGAATAAACCAGGAGCAGCAGGCCGCGCCACCAAAGAAGGAGGAAGAAAAAAAATTCTCTATCTATTGCGATTTGCTCATGCGACCCGAAAAGAGCGAAGCGCGCAGCATTGCGCCAAGGCAAGAGAGGGAGGGAGCGAAAGAGTGAGAGGGAGGGAGTACTGTTATGAGAGTGGTGCAGGGGGAAGGCATTCGAATGGGCGCCCGCAGTGGGTGCGAAGTACTGCCGCCTGCTTTTGTCTACAGATACACATACATCCACATCTATAACAGTGATGCGTGTTTGTATAGCTCCTACATACGAGCACACAGCAGCAAGCACCCGAAGTACCTTCATCTCTTCGACTATATTTCTTTTGGATCTTCCCAGCATCAATAATTTCCTCCTTGACATTAGCTGCTGTGACTCTCTCTCACTAACTCTTTCCGATCAGATCGGCAGATAAAACTAAGTCTGCAACAAAATTGTGATTTATCCTGTGCTCAGAGAGCTTGCAATTAGAGCATATTTTTTGTACCACAGAGTGAGAGAGTGGCTCAGAAAACAAGCAACTTTGGAATGTGGAATGCTCCTCACCTTGTAGAAATACACTTTGTCCTTAAACTTGAGGACCCCCGCTGCCGTGCCTCTGTGGTGGATTTTGGGTTGGAGGTGAGTTCCATTGTGCGCATGACGCGCTCCTTGAGGACCCAGCAGCAGCTAAGACATGGACATGGACTTGCTTGCGACTCGGATATGGACACATTCCACGTCGTCAGGCTGCTGGCATTAGTAGATAAATTGTAAGAGCATCTCGAATGTCTGTGTGGGGCTATCCGTTAATAGGCCTGTCGGTTAATGTCATCGAGTTGAATAATTTCAAGTGCCGTTAACGTTCTGCTTGTCTATTATTAGGCGCTGGATGATATAATATTTGACTGGTTTGTCCTTGGGGCAGAGCGAGTCCTTCCCCTTCAAAAGAGGGGGGTTGTGGGTGTGTAGCGGGCGGCTGTAGGAGTGGTGCTGTTCGCAGTGGGAAAACATGTTGCATACTTAAGGGCGATAGCCAGTGAAAAAAAAAAACCGTTGCTGAAAAACAAGAAAAACGAAACGCAAAAACCAAAGTGCAGTGGATCCATCTCTTTCGTTTTGCACTCTGTTGCTATCTCGCTCTCATTTTAGAGGGACAGGCTGTTGATATCATATTTTTGCCTCTTCTATTATTATATTGATGGTCTACTGCCTTTTTTTATGGTGCTTGGAATAACGGGAACTTTCGGCCGAAAACTCACCACGCATGACGCGCGACGCACTCTCTGCGCCTCTCTACCTCTCCCTCTCCCTCTCTTGCGCAGTGCTCTCACACAGCAACCAACTCCTCCTTTCACACTCTCTCGCTCTCTCTCTCTCTGTCTCTCCCGCTTGTGAGGATTTTATTATCTGGAAACGGTTATTTCTGTTAAAGGGGGGTGGTGCGGTGGAATGGCGCCCACGTAGCAGCACAGCAGCAGGGCAGGCAGCAAAAAGAGGAATCAGAAGAACTAGCAGAAGCACTAGGAGAACAGGCACAAAGGAGAAGAGTCGGAAAGAAAACACAGTTTCGCTGCTGCTGCACTCAGTCGAAAATTTGACACAAAATGTGAATGAAGTGTGTGCCTCCTCGCGTGTGTGAAAAAAAGTGAAATTAAAACAAACAAAAACAAGACAAATAATGAATTTTTATATTTTTCTTTAGTGCAGAAATCTTTGGCAGCAATTGTAAATAAGTAACCAAAAACCAAAACACTCCACCCAAACAGAATAGAAAGAAAATAAAATAAAACAAAACCGAATATAGGAAACGCCATAAAACCATATAAATATTATACACTCAGACATGCTTAATATATGTATATAGATATATAGCCTTCTAAACGCAACAAAATTAACATAAAATCAAAAATAACAAACAACAAAAATAAAACAAAAGAAAAGAAAATCGAATTTCCGGCTAGCAAATGTCTGGATAAGGAAACGCCACCTGGAGGACCAATGGATGAAAATGCAGCCGTCGTCGTCGTCACTTTTGTCGTCGTCGTCGTTGTCCTCCATTTGTCAGAGCTTTTGTCGTCAGCAGCAGCAACAGCAGCAGCAGCAGCATCCAGAGCAGGCAGTGCAGCAGCAGCAGCAGCAGCAGCAATCCAGGATAAGCAGCAGCAGAGGCAGGAGCAGCAGCACCAGCAGCAGCAGAACAGCAGATCAGGAGGAGCAAAGGGATCTGCTAGCCTTCGCCAACGCGCTGATCCCAACGACAGCGCTGCCTCAGCTGGCGTTGTTCACCAGCAACAGACGCTCAGCAGAAGCTGCAGCGGCCGCCTAAGTTGCGCCGGCATCCTCTAGAGGGCGCCAGACGACACTACCGTTATATACACCGAAGCAAGAGAAGCGAAGAAGCAGCCACTGAAGAAACAGAAACAGAAAAAGCAGAAGACAAAAAGCCACAGAACAAACAGAAACAGAAACACAAACAAAAAAGAAGAACAGTTGGATAGCCTCACCCGAAACTAAAGGAAAGAAAAGGAAAGGAGAGGAGGCAGCCGCAGCGGTATTTTGACAAACAAAATGGCGGATGGTGGGCATTCATTCGTGAAGAAGACATTTCATAAGCCAACGTACTGTCATCACTGCTCGGATCTGCTCTGGGGCCTCATCCAGCAGGGCTACATATGCGAGGGTGAGTAATCCATATTATGAATTCTGATAATTTCAGCCCAAGTAGGGGGAAAACTTTGTTTCAAGCTTCGTCGTCTTTAACGTGCCATCAGATCTAGTTATAGAACTTTATGCTAGTGCATTTTGTGGAAAATCCTAGGTCATAAATTTCATATTTGATTGTGGGATCAATCCATAATAATGAGTTAAGTTAGTGAGTATCCTATATATGTGGATTGGGAAGACTGAAGATTGATGGGAAGAATGGGAAGGTAGTTTCGAATTATCTGGAAGAGTTCTTCATAAATAATCCCACTTTGCAAGCATGTTTAATTAACTATGAACAATTGTGCTAAAATCTTTTAAAATATAATCTAATTGTGCAGAAGTATACTGTGCAAATCCACGCCTGATTTAGCCGATAAGGGGTCCAGCATAATTTTCTAGGATCTGGGAAAGTGGAGAATAATATTTAGTTGAAGTACATTTCACAACAAAAATCAGTTCTTTCAACTCTTGAAACAAAGTTTTCTTTAGTCAAATTCGTAGAACTTTTGTTGCCAAATCGCCCTTCACTCTGATGCGCTCCTGTACCGTCGAGCAATAGACACAGATAAGTTGTAATTAACGAGCACTAAACACAACCAAAAAGCGAGAAAACAGCAGCACGCAAATCATCATCATCGTCATCGGCAGAGGAGCATCTTCGGTGGCAAACGGCAGATGTAAAAATACATTTTGTCTAGTTTTGAAAATACTTTTTAAGTTGCCATAAACTTGGAAATGTAAATGCGGATGGAAAGATCGATGGATGGATGGATGGATAGTGACGGCAGGAGGGGGAATGTTGTAAAAACAAAGACTTTCGGTCTGTACAGGCCACAGCGTCATTGGGCGCGGGCGGTTGGTCATATTTTGAGAGCGGGAATACCGACAAAACTTCAGGAGAGCATCTAGCATCAGAATCAGAATCAGCAGTGGCATCTACGTACAATATATTCTACAATAAAGAGGCTGGCAGTCAGGCAGGCACAGGCAGGCAGCATCATCGGTCTATTTGTGGCCGAGAAGTGTGCGCGTTTGAACTTTTCCAAATTGTGCGGCTGTTGGCCGTGTCGTGCCATGACGTGAGCACAGAGCCCCAACGACGTCATAGACAGCTCCGATTCTCCGTATACAATAAATACTTATGTATGTGCAAATGCTCGGTATATATCGATGTATCATTGCCATGGAAATCTCTATAAAACAGCGAAGAGAGAACAGAGTATCGAACGAACTGGACGTGGAGGCCAGTCAGTGGATTATTTGACTCTCCCAATTGGAAGCGTGTTGGGCGCCTCGCCTCGCCTCAAACTGAATCTGTGTTGCCCCGTTTGCCCCGCCCCCCCCCCCCCCCGCCCCTTTCAATTTTCATTTCGTTTATTTTTGCAGGCGATTTGTGTTGCTGCTATTATTATAATTATCGCGATTTGCGAATCGCGCTTCTCATTTTATGTGGCAGCGTGTTAATGTTTATAGTTTCAGCGAGCGAGCGCGCGCCCCATCTTCATCGCCATGCTCTTGCCCCTTGACCACACATACATTTCCCACTCAATTAGCTGCCATTTGCCACAAGTTGGACACGGCCCGACCCGACCCCGTTTAGCTATTAACAACTTACCAAACAGATCCCCAAAGTTGTTAATGGAAGCGCTTCAAGATTGGTAGATTTTGGATTGGAAGCTAAATGTTGTGAGAGAGCTTACAGTACGAACAGATCCATGCATCCTGTAAGAGAAGGACATACTAGACTTTAGGGTTTTGCAAACCAAGAATAAAAAGAAAGAAAATGAAAAAATGGGTCCAAAAATTCCTAAAGCTCCTCTATTTTTGTATGCAATCAAGATGCAAGTGCTCAAACGCCCAAGACCCAACGGTTGATAGAAGTACAGTGCAACACATACTCGTAGTATGTTCTCAGTTCAGTGTTCAAGGCAGATCCCTAGAAGATTACAGTCTTCTAACCTAATGACATGCATACATATATAATTGGAACATATTTTCTGTATATTTCTAACATAGCTATGAAATGGTGTTCTGTTCTTCATATTCTGTATTTTTACTATATACTTTTTACTATATACTGCTTCAATTTATGATTGTGCAAAAGTAGTGCCATTTTTAGAGATTCCCACGTTTGAAGAGACTGTTGAAGCTGACCAAAAATGTAATTCCCCAGTAAGCTTCTTTAAAGCAACCCTAAAACGCAGTTACAGTTATCCACAGCGTAGTAAGCAGGCAGGATAATCCCCATAGAAATGATGGATATTTGCGAGCTAAATTTGTGTTGCATACCCCCGGGGGCGTCTCTCTGGTTGCCGGGAAATCATCATCACGCATACGCAGCGTTGTCCGAATGTAAATGAGAATTGGAATTGGAAATGGAGCAGACGCGGAGGCGCTGGTGTGTAGGAGGATAATTGAGTTGCACATTTAATTGGACAAAGCGAAACGCGAAGTGCCCCACCGGCAGCAGGAGCCTGAATCCGAAGCTGCATCGCTCTGTGGTCCAGGACCGACCAGGACGACGACGACGAGGCTCAGGGCCCGGATCCGGGCTCGGACCTAGTCACAGTCACAGGCACAGCCTCTCGCGAAAGTAGGTCAAATGCGAAGTGCACAGATAGAAATGCACACGCACACACACACACAGGGACACACACAGATGCAGTGGCATGCCGCAGGCAACATTTCAATTGGTTTTTCAGAGAGGCTGCCTCTCTCAGTGAAGCAACAGCAGCAGGTGCGCACCGAAATCCAATTGTGGATGCATGTGGGCTGTGGACTGGCTGCAAGCCGGCTAGGCACAAACCGTATCACCCCTACCACCCACCCCCACCGCTTCGAGTGCCCCTGAACCAACACAGCACCCCCAACCACCCCACCCAACCTCTCCACCTCCGACAGCGAGAGAGTGCTGCCACCGATAGCAGCGAAGGGCTAAAAGTGCGTCATCAATGGCCGCCATGGCAAATGACGGCGACAGCGGAACCAAAAACCAAACGGGGCGGTCGTGCCTGAGGTTGAGGTTGAATGGAGGGGAGGGGGAATGAAGATTGGGGCCTGGGGTTGGACGGGGGCTTTTGCCTTGTTAATTGCCTCGTTCTCGGCGCTGTTCATTCATAACCCAACTGAATGGAAAAACGAGAGCATGCAAAGTGGGGGAAACTTATGGAATCGAAGCAAGTATACACTATCGACGGGATACACTTTTAAATAGATGGGATAGGTGCTTATATTCTTAAGAAGAGAAAGATAATGATTACCTAGTGTAGGGATAGATGTTGCAATGGAAAGTTCTTTAAGTACATGTATAAAAGAATCCTAGGAGGACCTCTGTCTGTTCTCAAAACATCAACAAAATGAATAAGATCTTCTGAAATATTCTTTACCGATTCCCTTGGAATGTACCAACATCTTCCGTAAATATTTCTCAAGTTTTATTTGAAATTTGGTGTACTTCCCCGTGGAAAGAGCATATTAGCTATAAGAAGAGATTTTTCGGTGTCGGGGCGGTCGTCAGTTTGGCTGGCACTTCGACAGCGAACAGCAGAAGGTGTACGGTGGGAAGAGGGTGAGAGGCAGAGTGAACGACTGGGAGAGGAAAGTCACTGCTGACGTTGCAAGCGACCGACAAAGGACAGGCACTCGAGCGTCTGAAGGGTTTAACTGGCAGCGTAGGTGCGCCTGGCCTGGTCCTGCCTCGCCAGAACAAAAGCAAAAAAAAAAACCAAAATCCGATTGTATGTCAGTCAAGCAGTGTCAAGCATGGGTAGAGCAGAGCTGTGCTGTGTGCAGCAGTGGATGGGGGATGGGATACGATAGGAGGATGCTAAGGATGCTAACGGTATCAACGTAACGTCACGTCAAGCTGCATCCTTTTCCCAGCGGTACCCGTACAGTGCATGTATGTGTGTGGGCTGTGGTTGTGTGTGTTCAAGTGCTGCAAAGCGCTGCCTCATTTATAATTAGACCTACAATTTGCATATACATACATACATATGTACATACATATGTTTTTTCTACATATATTTAATATTTTGTTGTTGTTGCTATTTCGAGGGGGGCTCTAAAAATAAACCGCAATTTGCATGCAGCAGCATCAGCATCAGCAACAGCAACAGGAGCAGCGGATGTTACATTAGTGCTGCAATCTGTGGGCTGATGAATAATGCTTCAATCAAAAGGGGAAATCAGATTGAAACGAAATTGAATTTGGTTGTCATAGAAGTTGCAGCAGCAGCAGCATCGCCACTAAGTGTGGGAGTGGGACAAATACATAGAACATGTATGCTCTCCGTCATGCGTCACCTCATCTACATACATTCATGTATGTGCGTACGTACGTATGTATGTATGTATGTTTGCGTATGAACAGCTATTTTTAAGTTCTGGAGGAGAGTTGTTTCTTCTCTTCTTCTGCTGCTGGTGCTGCTGCTGCTGCTGCTTGTGCTCCTTCCACAATTGAATTGTATAACTCTCCCTCCCCCCGCCCGTTGGGGCAAATACTCGTACACATACATGTCCATTTTAATTGTTCTTCTTCTTCATGGACTACGCATGTCAACTTGTGCGTATATTCAATTGTCCCTAACCTCCAAAAACTCCCTCTCCCCTCCTTCGGGCCTCTTCTGCCTCTTCATCACCCGCACTCTGCCACATCTTCTTCTGGCAAGTAGCAAGAGAGAACGTTACATGTGTGTGTGTGTGCGTGTCTTGTGCCTAAAATTTGGCTTTGTGCTGCCTTTGGTACTTCTTCTTGTTATTCTGCTTTCCCTTTTGTTATTTCTTGGTTTTATTGCCCCACAATAAACGAAACGAAAGGAAACGAAACGAAACGAAAGCAAAGGAAACTGTAAAAGCAAAAGTGTGTTGAGTTTCCACAGACAGAAATTTCCCCACAGACGCACGCACCAGCAACAACAACAACAACAAAACGGGAAAACAAAAGGCAAAGAAAAGCCATTTCGAAAATTTCCCCATGCGTTGGCGTCGCTGCTTCTCGACTCTCTTCCTCTCTGCTTGCTTGTCTGCTTATTCTTATCTACAAGAGAGTGACAGAGAAAGGGAGAGAGCGCGTGTGAGAGCAAAAGAGAGTGAGAGAAGTACACACAATTTTTTGGTATACATAATGCAAGTGTATGCAACAAAGCGAACGAAGGGAATGATGGGCGAATGAGTAGAAAAAGTACCGTACCGTTTGGCTCTGACCCCCACAGGGGCGTGTATACGCGGCGGCAGAGTTGACTCAGCTGTTGCTTTTGCAGGGTAGTCTTCGAGCAGCCAGCACCCAACACACCCTACCATTCTCTTGCTCCATCATTTATGCACATGCAACACAAAAACATGAAAGTGAAGCACAGCTTCAGGGGCGCAGGTTTTTATACCCTTTCAGTTCCGCCATTCCGTTCCTTTAGCAGATTTAAACTTGGTTGGATTATCTTTAAAAAAAAATACATTTTTACACGATTTTCTTTTTTGCTGTATGCAGTGTAAAAAGTATCAAGTGCAAAGTTTCCAGCATATAGCTTTCAAAACTAAAGGAGTTCCTTTTCCTTGTTGGAAATATATATTCTAAAACACAATACCCTTTCCGCAAGGGTAAGCTTTTATTTGCCAAAAACTCAAGAGAACATGAGCGAACCCAGCAGAGAGCGAGAGGACGAGAGGACACGCTATCAGCTTACAGTTCTATATACAAATTTTGCTGCTTTTATTTTATTTTCGCATGCAACTTGCATTGAGTCCATGGCGCGCGTCACGTTTGTCCTCCGTCGTGCACTGCTTGCTTTATTTGTATGTACATACATATGTATGTTTGTACAAAAACTAAAAGTTGGCTGGCAGCGGCGGCGGCGTCCGTAAGTTCAGTTGTGACGTCAGAGATGCGCCTCAGGTCAGCGGCCTAGTTTTCTGCTTCTTCCCTCTGCTGCTGCTGCTGCTGCTGGTGCTGCACACAAAGATGATTGTGCAGCTACACACACACACACTACCCATGGATATGTAGCCTCCGCACAACTTTTACGCAATGCCAAAAATAGAACTTTGATATCTATGTTAAGCCAGCTAGCACACAAAAAAAGACCCACACACCCACACACGTTATTAGTACATATGTATTTATGTACATATTGTACATACATCAGTTTTATGTACTGCACTTTTTCCCAGATTTGGTTTCCATTTTTTTTTTGGTTTTTGATCCTCTCTTGGCTTGGCATTCATAGGGGAGAGCGCGACAGTTTGAGCCCTGCCCAAACTGGACAGCACTTGCTGTCAGGCTTATCATCTCTTGGGCAAGATTTGGTAACAAGTGGATTAACAAGTGTGTTCAGGGATTAGCCATAAATTGAGTGCTGCCTCGTTTCGACAGTACTCAAAGCAAGAGCAAGTGCAGAGGAGAACTTTTTCGCTTGCAGCTCCCACACGTTTACCTTACTTTCGCTTTCGCTTTTGCCTTCGGTGGTTGCCAGGGCATGACAGTGCCCTGCCTCTGTTCCTTTGTGGGCCTATAGACGCTAGGCCAGTGGTGTGGCATGTGGCATGTGGCATGTGGGTGCATGGCAAACTTCAATGAATGTGTCTTTGTCCATGAACTCGGGGCAACGGCAACTACTCGCATGAATGGGGCGCACACTGCAGCCTGCTGCTGGTGGCTGCTGGCTGGCAATGATGCGGTGACTTTGCGGTTGCGTTTTTGCGGGGGGCTAAGGGACTTGGAATTTTACCAATACCAATTTAGTCGGGCGCATAAAAGGAGGAAGAGATTGGTCTGTTTTTGTTTTAGGTCTGTTCCATTTAGATAAACGTGAACCATTGTGAAATGAAGGAGAACTTCCACTGACACTTCTCTCTCTTTCTCTTTTCTCGCTTGCAGTTTGCAACTTTATCATACACGAACGATGTGTCACGAATGTGGTAACACCCTGTTCCGGCATCGCTCCATGCATTATAAAGGTACGTACATGCATTACTTGCCATTCAAATGATATATGTATGATATATATATGTAACTGTGTCGACTGTCATGTCGTGTCTTTGCTTACAGAATCCCGTTGCCCATTGTTGGTCCGAGCCAACCCATCACAAGAGGAAATTCTGCACTGTTTGCCGTAAGCGATTGGATGAAACGCCAGCGGTGCATTGTCTAGGTAAGTGACAGGCTCCCCCTACGCCCTCCCATCACCAGGTGCCACAGTACTCGACTGTGTGTGTGTGTGTGTGTCAGTCATCATGTCAGTTGCTATATTGAAGGATGATCCATTGTTGAAAAGCGATCAATAAAAGAGTATGTTTGTGTAGCAACAAATGCTACAGTTTCTTCAGTTAATTGTCGAATGATAGTAGTTCCAATGGGACTGGCAATCGCTGGATGTTCGCTTATGGGAACACCTTTTTTTTTGTAGCAAATCGTTTATTAGAGAGCCCCCATCTAATGATTTATTTCTTCACAGTTTGCGAATATTTCGCGCATACTGAGTGCCAAGATTTTGCCGTGCCCGATTGCACAGAGAACGCCACCTATGTGCCCGGCAAGGAGCTGCTTAATGTGAAGCATCAAGTGAGTATAAATCGAGTGGAGCCCACCGCCATCGATCGTACAATGTACAATGTACAATGTTATCCTCCACAACAGCACCATTGGCGAGAGGGCAATCTTCCATCAACGTCCAAATGCGCATACTGCAAGAAGACCTGCTGGTCCTCGGAATGTCTCACTGGTGAGTGGATTCGCGAGTAGTTCTTGCTTAATGATGGCATTTAAATATTAATTTTTGGATCAGGCTATCGCTGCGAGTGGTGTGGCATGACCACCCATGCCGGATGTCGCATGTACCTGCCAACCGAATGTAATTTTGGTATTCTACAACCTATCTACTTACCTCCGCATTCAGTCTCGATACCACGCACCGAGGTGCCCATCGAGGCGATCATCGGCGTTCAGGTCAAGTCGAAAACGACGCTCGTGCGCGACTATTCGTGTCGTAAGTATCAACCGAAACCGAAGGGCTGAATTTTGTGAATTATTTCTGAATTTCAGAATAGTTTTGCAATCAGAAAACGAGGCATGGACCATTTTCTGATTGCTTTGGCATCGAAATTTCTGAAATTCAGCAAATGTTTATTTATGGGGGACATGCCACAAGATACTCGTACAATATCTTCCACTCACCCACTACACCCAAAACCCACAAGCAGCAGCTCTCGATGTTGTGTTCACACTCAGAACTCAGAATCTCACATCGCCTCCCTCCAGCTCTCATCCACGCCCTCTCATCTCTCAGATCATCTGCAGAACCCACAATCTGTCCCACAAACAAAAAAAGAAACTCCACCAAAAGATTCTCTTGCGTTTTTTTCCTTGCATTTGTTTTCACTTTTTTTTGATTTTTGATTTTTGATTTATTTGTTTGTTCTTTTTCTCTCTCTCTCTCTCTCCTCTCTCTTGCGTTAATGTCTCTCTTTTCGGTTGTGTAATGTGAATATGTGTATGTGGGTGCGTCTGGCAGCCAGTCCGGATCTGAGTGCTGGTTCCGGACCGGGCTCTGGAACGGTGCCAGGTGTGGTATGCCTCAGGGAGCTGCTCGAGCTCCATCGGCAGCGTCTTGAGCAATCGAAACAACATTTTCTCCTTTCATCACCACCCACGCCCACATCCTGCGGCTCCGTCTCGCTCTGCCACTCGCCCACACCCTCGCTGACAGTGGGAGAGACGAGCACCGAGCTGGAACCGGACCAGGAGCGCCCCGACGACCAGGATGACCAGGAGGAGGATGAGGACGATGACTACGTTGCCACGGAGGCGGACAGCGCCCTGCAGCTGACGACATCCACCTCGAACGTCCTGGGGCCGCTGCAAAAGTCGCCATCGACCAACTCATCGCTGCATCTGCTCTACACGAGCATCTTCCGGAAGCTGGGGACCGGCCGGAGGCGACGGAAGCGCGGCGGTGGCATCTCTCAGAGCGAGGAGGACGACGAGGAGGAGGAGGAGGACGAAGACGAGGTGGATGGCGGTGTCTGTGATATAAGCGGTGGCGACATCAGCGACGACTACGATCACTGTGACGTGGCCCTGCGCCGGCGTGAAAGAGCCGCACGCCGGCAGCCGCGGGAGGTCAGCGAGACGGACTACCACGGCGACGTGGAGATGGAAACGGCGCCGCGGGAGAGCTGCTACGAGACCTCGGACACCGGCGGCGAGCTGACTAACACGGATGAGCTCGACTCCAGCATGAATCTGATCAGCAACCTTAGCTATAATAGTAGTAATAGTAACACCTCCCATGCCTCCAGAGCTGCCCACCCACCCACAGCTGCCGCTGCTGCTGCCACAGGCACCGCAGCTGCAGCTGCCACTGCCATTGCCACTGCGACTGCGACTGCGACTGGTAAAAATCCAAATCCAAATCCAAAGACTGGGGCCGCTCTGTCGGCCAAGCCCAAGCCCAAGACCATACTCAGTGTCTCGAAGCACAAGCACAAGGTGGCCGGGAAGGGCGGATCCCTGAGTTCGCCCAACTCCAGCGACTGCTCCTCGGCCTCGCCCTCAGCCCCGGCGAGCGGCTCCCTCACCCACACACTGCTCCAGCTGTCGCCCGTGGGACGGAGCAAGTCCTTCCAGGAGCCGGGCGTCAGTGTGTCCCGCTACAAGAAGTATGGACGCGGTCTGTTCCGGCGGCGATCCAAGAGATCGCCCAAGAACACGGCTGGCGCTGGCGTGGCGGGTGTAGGAGGCGGTGTAAAGAGCAACTACAGCCTGGACAGGCTGTCGCAGAACATAGAAATCACCATCCAGGACGAGGATGGTAACTACCGGCCGTATGACGACAACTACCACATGCTGGCGCGACGCACTGGCGGCCACGATGCCACCGATGTGGATGACGATGTGTGCTTCGATGATCTCTACCTGGACGATCGGCCCGGCGGTCAGAGCGACGATCTGGCGGCCTTTGCCGGCGACATCAGCGATGGCGGTGCCAGCAGTCGATCGCGGGCCAGCGACGCCAGCGATGGCCATGTCCTGGGGCGACTCCTGCGACATGTGCGGGGCCTCTCCGTCGGCTGGCGCAAGCCGCGCTACCAGAAGCGCAGAGGTGAACCGCTCTCTCTCTCTCTCTCTCTCTATTTCTTTCTGTCTGTCTCTGTTCGTCTCTGTCCCTGGCGACAGGTGCCGGAGATCCGCTCGAGTTTCGTTTGCAGTCTTGGTTCCTGTTTTCCGTTCCGTTCTCTAGTTTTGCGCTAACAAAAAAAAAATAAACACCTGTTTTGGTTTTGGTTTTGGTTTTCGTTATTTCCTTTCATTTTGAGCCAAGCCAATCACTAACCCACTCGAGCCATTCGAATCACTAACCATCTAACCATTCGAGCCATTCGAATATTTCGAATCACTAACCATTCGAACCATTCGAATCATTTGCATCATTCGGATCACTAACCATCCACTAACCATCGTCTGCACCATCTACATTCGCATTCGCATCCGCATCACCCACTAATCCCTAACACTCACTTGCATGCTCAAATGTCTCTAACACGAGGATCGTTCAAGCGAATTGATTCGCTTTTGTTGCTACTAAAATCAATGCCATCCTCCACGCGGGATGACACCAATCTCCCTCCAGTGACTAAAGCTCTCAGTCTCTCTCCTCCCACCGATCGAACAGCACGCAGCATATCCGAGGAGTTCAGCAGCGGCGATACGCCTCGCTTCAAGGATGAAGAGTCCGCCAGCAAGACCGAATCGGGCCATGGACCCAGCAGTGGAGGCGGCGAAAGAGGAGGCGGTGGTGCCAGTGGCAGTGGAGTGGGCGGTGGAGGCTCCAGCACTGCTGGTGGATCTGCGGCTCCGTCGGGCGGCGGCGGCGGCGGCGGTGGAGGAGGAGGATCCTCCGGCCATTATAGTAGGCCCGATTCCGCTGGCCACAAGTCGGATGCCAAGTCCGATGCCAAAATGGAAAGAGACCGAGAGAAGAAGGAAAAGGAGCGCGAGGAGAAGGATATAGGTAAGATCGCAAAACCCCTGATCCCTAACCTGAGAGAGAGCGCCGCAAGGAACTAAATGACAATCGTTTTTCCCCCTCCCGCAGAGATGATCAAGGTATTCGATGGCAACAACTCATTCCGACGCCAGCAGTACCGCGTGATCATCGTGCAGCGAACGTATACGCTGGAGCAGCTGCTGACCACCGCACTGCGGGCCTTCCACATCACGCGCGATCCGCAGGCCTTCTATCTGACCGATCTGTATGCCCCCCCGGGCATGGAGGATGCCCCAATGCTGGACCCCACCCCAGTGCTGAGTCTTGTGCACTTGGAGGGCAAGCGACCGGCGATATACATTCGGTTTCACGACAGGGAAAAGGGCCATGTCCGTGTGTATCCCGGGAAGCTGCAGTGCGCCCTGGAGGATCCCTATGTCAGTGTTCCTGTAGATAATAACACAGTCATCAAGGATTTGATACGCGACGCTCTGGACAAGTTCGGGCTGCAGGATAACCAGATACAGGACTACAGGTGGGGCAGTCGTTGAATATAAACATCCAAACATCCTTTGAGTACCCATTTGTGTGTACCTTTCAGATGCTCGGAGGTGCTGCTCGATCGTGGCGTGACCGAACGCATCCTCTCGTGGAACGAGAGACCCTGGGATATTACGAAGCAGCTGGGCAAGGACTCCATACGCCAAATGGAGCTGATGCGCTTCTACATGCAGCACAAGCAGGATCCCCATGGACCCAACATCGCCCTCTTTGTGGGCAATCTGCCCACAGGACTCTCGCAGCGCAACTACGAGCAGATCCTCAACAAGTACGTCACCGATGAGAACAAGTTCATCAGCATCGGACCCATCTACTACGAGTATGGCTCTGTGGTGCTGACCTTCGAGGATGCCCAGAAGGCGGTAGGTCTCGGAAAACTCATGGATCCCTCACAGATATACCTCTAAAGGGTTCCATTTCTGTCATCATGCAGGTTCGTGCCTTCTACAATCTCCGCGAGACGATCATCGAGGACAAGAAGCTGCTGGTGCTGCTCTTGCCGAACATTGAGCCCAGCATGGTGCCATCCGATGTGCGACCGCTGCTGGTCTTTGTCAACGTGAAGTCTGGTGGCTGCCAGGGCCTGGAGCTGATCTCCAGCTTCAGGAAACTGCTGAATCCCTATCAGGTCTTCGATCTGGACAATGGAGGTCCTCTGCCAGGGTAAGTCGAGAACAGCAGACCGCAACAGCAATCCACTCGCCACAGATTTTAATCCACATACTGTATGTTCCTCCGCCTTTCAGTCTGTATGTTTTCCGCCAGATAACCAACTACAAGATTCTGGTTTGTGGCGGTGACGGCACCATTGGATGGGTGCTGCAGTGTCTGGACAATGTTGGCCAGGACTCGGAATGCTCTAGCCCACCGTGCGCCATTGTTCCACTCGGAACGGGTAAGTGCAAATCGATTCGGGGAGATGTTTCAGCGACATAACAACCAAAACATTCAACTGAATCGTTTAGGCAATGATTTGGCTCGGGTCCTGTGCTGGGGCTCGGGCTATACCGGCGGCGAGGATCCGCTGAATTTGCTGCGGGATGTGATCGAGGCCGAGGAGATACGGCTGGATCGCTGGACCGTTGTCTTCCATCCGGAGGATAAGCCCGAAGAGCCGGCCATGAAGGCGCCGTCCCAAACAACCGGTAAGAAGAAGAAGGCACACCAAGCACATCTATCGCAATCGCAATCGCAACAAACCAATCAGCATCATCAATTACCGGCTCTGACATCGAGTGATATATCAGGTCATTTGGTGCTTACAAAACAATCCGTTCGTTCGTTCGTTGTTTAATCTACAAACTACAATCTACACCCCAGACAAATCCGCCCAACCAAAACACCCCAACACCCTAAAAACCCACCCACCCACCAATCCACCAACCACATTGATGTCTATAGTGTCTTAACCCAAAAACTACTGATCAAAGCAAAAAAAAAACACTCTCAAACCCAGCCCGAAACCATCAATTCCCAGCATTCGTTGTAATTACATCTGTGCTTTGGTCGTCTCTCCATCAGACGATATACCGGCTGTAACATACATTTATTGTAGCCTGCAAAATCACCCTTCACCACACAACACCACCCACCACCCACCACCCCCACCGAAAGCCCCCACCTTTCAGATACGCCAAGCGTTTCGTAGCTGTTTGGTATCTGATGATGATAAATGCTGTTTAGTTTCGATGTGTACAGACGATCTGCATGCCCGAAACACTAGCTCTGCTCTCTCTATTCTCTTTGTACCCCCAGAAGGTAAAGTATTTCATAGCCAGAGTCAAGACTTCCCACGAGGATCAAGGATTTGCTGGGTAACTTATTCAATCTCCCCTCCTCCCCCTGACTTGTGAATATATCCATCTCGATGTTGTGTCTATTGTATGTTCGGTGTCATGTGTCTATGTCTCAAATCTTAATCTCCCCTTTGGCGCCCAAGTGACCTAACCCATTCGTCTCCATTCCGGTGTATCCCCCCGCCCCGGCATACAGGTGGCGCCCAGAACGAGGACAACTCACAGATCTTTGTGATGAACAACTACTTTGGCATTGGGATCGATGCCGATCTGTGCCTGGACTTCCACAATGCTCGTGAGGAGAATCCCAATCAATTCAACTCTCGGCTCCGCAACAAGGGCTACTACGTCAAGATGGGTCTCCGGAAGATTGTCGGACGCAAAGCGGTCAAGGATCTGCACAAGGAGCTGCGCCTCGAGGTCGATGGCAAGATTGTCGAACTGCCGCCAGTTGATGGCATCATCATTTTGAATATATTGAGGTATGCCAAGCATTCTTTTTCCTTTTAAAAACCATCGTTCAGTCCTCCTCTAACGCTCGTTCTCTGCGACCTTTTAGCTGGGGCAGCGGCGCCAATCCCTGGGGTCCCGACAAGGATGATCAGTTCTCCACCCCGAACCACTACGATGGAATGCTGGAGGTGGTGGGCGTCACTGGCGTCGTGCATTTGGGCCAGATCCAGTCGGGCATTCGCACGGCCATGCGCATAGCACAGGTTCGTTGGGACTCTATCTATATTTATCCAGGGATCTATTCTAACAGGTGTCGGTATCCTCTCTCGCCTAGGGTGGTCACATTAAAATACATCTGAACACGGACATGCCCGTTCAGGTTGATGGCGAGCCCTGGATCCAGAGTCCCGGCGATGTTGTGGTTCTCAAGTCGGCTCTCAAGGTATGTTCCATTGTTCTTCTGGTTGCCTTGCATGTCCTCCAGCCTTTGTTCCTTCGTTCCGAATTCTATGGCATGCCTGCTTCTTACGATTTACCACATTTTCTGTTGTGTACATAAATATACTCGAACACATATATTTTTGTTGGATTCATACATACGATACTCAGATCAGAGCCGAACAAGCAACAACGCTATTGGTTCCATTGCCACACACTTTTATGTTCCCCCTCCACAAAAAGTTTCTCTGCATTTGATTGTTACACCCCTTAGAAAAGAAAACGAAAAAGAAAATTTAAGAGTATACGTGGCAGTTAAAATTAGAGAATATTTATAGGTATAGCTTAAGAAAACATATAGGAAAAGATGGTAAATGGAAATTAAAGCGCCACAATCGGGGTCCAATATTTAACATTTCTTAGCTTTAAAGTTTAAACTCTTTAAAGTTGAGAAATTCATTGAAAATTATAATTATAGAAAAAATGACAATTGGATTGGTTTGGATTGGTCTAATCAGGATTTCCAACTGAATATTATTCAATTTAATCGGAATTCGTCTCAATTGCAATCAGTTTTAATTTAATATTGATTATTTTCGACTAAGGATTAACTTAGATATTAAATAAAAATAAAAATCGATTTTCATTGCTTACATCGATTACTTTCGATTAAAAACTAAATTTTCTAGTTATCGGAATCTATCGATAGTTCAAATATAGTTGATTTTCATGTAATCATTCCATTAATGATTATTTCTCATTTAAATGAATTTGTTTTTTGCTATAATGATGTCCGTAGATGACTCAAAATTCCAAAAATTATTCCGCAATCAATTTCCCTGACTGAAACGATAACTGATTAATCGAAAGCTGTACGTTTGTTGACAGATCTCAATAGCTAAACTCCGAAAAACTGAACGATCGTCACGTTCAATGGAGATTTAATTAAGTGAAGTGCTAAAATATTTTATAGAGATCAAAAACCAAACCGATTGTCATTGATTTAGAATTATGTACTTTGTTCTGTGTGTGTGTTCGATATGCGTGTTCCTGTATGTTTCCATATGTAATTTGTCCATTTGGTCCCGCCCGATCTTTGTTGTAATTAAATAGAGCACAACCATGCCACTGCCCTGCCCTGCCCCCACCACCCAACCACCAAAAACAAAATAAAAACCCTGTAAATTATAGCCACCTAACCGAGCAACGTTTTTGTGCATCTTTCCATTTGTTCGATTGATTGTCGGAGATTGAAGGAGGAGAATCCAAAGCTAAACTAATGACAAATCAGAAAAGAAATTAAATCAAAATCTTTGTAGCATTCTCTCTGTTAAATGTGTGTGTGCGTGTGTGTGTGTGCGTATGTGTATGTTGGTTTTGACCCATGTGTGTGTTTTATATGCTACATCCAGGCCACCATGCTGAAGAAAACGAAGAGTAAGCGCCGCCTCACGGAGCCGCATATCTCGCCAGCGGTCCTGAGTCTCTCTGTGGCACAGTCGCAGCAGGCGCAGGCGCAACAGCAGCAGCAGCAGCAACAGCAATTGCAGCAACAGCAGCAACTACTCCAATTGCAACAGCAGCAGCAGCAACAATCGCAGCAGCAGCAGCAGCAACAGCTGCCAGAGAACGGCGATAAGGAGGCGGCGGGGGCATCATCAATGGTGCTGCCCCCTAGCTTTGGCAGCACCTAGAGCTTACCCTCCGCCTATGCCTCGGGCCTGAGATATTGGTTTTCCTGTTTTTTCCCATAGTCAAAGTAATGAAACGAAACGAAACGCAACAGTAAACTTAATTCACACAAAAAGTAACAGGGAAACAGAGGCGTGGCGTTCATATCCATAGCACAGCGAGCATCACATCTTGTAATCATTGTAATGTTTAACAACAAGAGCAAAACTCCAATTGCGAAAGCAAACTAAAACTTAATCTTCCATTTAAAGAGAATCAACCGAAACGTATAGAATTAACAAGAAACAAAAACAAAAGTGCTACAAGTAAAAATATACATACACCCAAAAGGTTGAATATACATACATACATAGCTAACAAGCGAAGGGACTGTAAATAATCAATTGGTGCCAAGATTTGAGAAAACCAGAAAAAAAACATAGAAACAGAAACCGAGAGAGAGCGAGAGCGAGAGAGAGACCTATGAGAAGCTGTCGTCGAAGCTCTATATGAGAACAATCCACCAAAAATTCCACAGTACACACCCAGTACAACCGCCCACCCCAACCACCACTCTGCACAAAAAAGAACAGTGACCACCGCTTTTGAACTTGAATTAGAAACTAAAAACACACACACCACAAACACACACCCACCCCACATCACCAACACACACGCCCACCCACCACAGACACCGCCCCACAGCGCCTAGAAATTGTCTACAATTTCGTTTCAGTTATCCCCATGCTTTTAATTTTTCTATTGTTTAAAGGACAAAAAACAAAACAAAACAAAAAATATATACAAAAAGAAGAAACATTTTTATGCAAATGCCATATCATAGATATATACATATATTGTTTCTTGATCTTGCAAGCGTTTTTCTTTTCATCATAATACAAACGAATAATATTGAATCACATGAAAACCATTTAATTTATTGAGTTTTGTTGCATTTTGCCTGATTTCTCCAGACAGTTTTTAATTGAGATCTAGCTTTTTTGAAAACAACTATAATCCTAGGATCAAAACATGATTTCCTTTGCGTTAACTCTCTATATTTTCTTACTCTCTATTTTCTCTCCAAAAATACAATACACAACAACAACAACACCACCTACTTCTCTACATATTCTACTCTATATACTCTCTTCTTATTCGATCTATGCGCTCCGATTTACACACGATATCTGTATTGTAATCCTAACTCTTAAATCAAATCTACATATGATGAAAACAAATCAATATTTCTAAACAAATTGCATCCAACAATTAATGGAAATGTGATTGGATTATGCACCCATACAAAACGATTCAAATCGATATCAAAATAATTTAAAAAAAAAACAAAAAACTACCGTTAACGTAGGCCACGATGTTGAAAAAGAACAAACTGAAAATGAAACGCAGGAACACGGAACCCACCATGCTCGTTGCCGGCTCCTCGGCGACGCCCCAACTGTCGCTGGCCCTGCCGCCCAGCGTGGACGAGGTGGTCGATGGGGCCGTGGGCGATGGCGGAACGGGCAATAATACGGATTTCTGAATATGGTATAGCGAGCGTCTGATTTAACGTGCTAATTCCAGCCAGCCAACCCTAAAAACCAGCCGCACAAAACGCATCTTGAGCACCCTCCCCACCAACCGCCAAACAGCAGAAGCAGCAGAAGCAGCAGCAGTAGCAGCAGCAGGAGCAGGAGAACCCAGAACCCACCCAAAGAACCAGAACCAGGATCAGCAAAAAGCAAAACAGTCCATAGCCGGAGTCCAAGCTCAAAATCGAATCGAATCAAATCAAATCAAAAGCTGTAATCAAAATTACTTCGTACAACACTCTTATAATCTACTCTACTACAACAAAAACTCCACTATGTATAAAGAATCCCAAGTCATGCCAAAAGTTCAAAAGTTCAGCAGACCCGCAACCGCAAGCGCATTTCCTTCCGCACTTCCGCATGTGTCTGAAAGAAGTACGTTAAACTCAAACAGCTCGAGTCGAAGCACACACACACACAACTGTACCTAACAGTGCAGCCAACTCTACGAAAGTTAACCTATGTATGGAATAGATACAGTCCAGAACCAGTCAGAGTAACCAGTAACATAAATCCGATGTGCATATGTATACAGTTGGTATGCAGATGTTAGGGAAGAGGAGAGAGGTTTTGTTCAAAAACTCAGCGCAATAGTCCGAGAAAGTTGTATCAAATTCAAGTTCAATATTATGTTCCTTCCCGTTTTGTTCCTATGTAAGAAACAGCAGAAACAGATTAGTGATACCGTTAAACAGAGAAAACCGCAAGCCGTGAGAGGAATGATGATGAATGATGGATGATGAATGATGAAGAATCATTTGAGATGATTGAAAAAAATGAAGATTATGAAGAGCCAGGGAAAATGTAATGAAAAACCAAAAAGAAACAAAACAAAAAGTACAAAATTGTTGAAAATTGTTTGTTATAACTAAATGAAAATGCAAAAAAAAAAACCCAAAAAACCAAAGAGAAAACTGAACAGAAAAGAAAACCACAAAATAATGACAAGAAATTGAGAAAACCAATTAGGTAAATCAATATTGTGCCATGTGCAAAAGGTCCCTCGGGATTTTACAAGGACACAAAAACGAAAAAAAAAAAAAAAATTTACCGGCCAGGACAAAGACACACACGTACAGCAGATGCGAGAAAATTTATACGAAACTTTTGATTTCCGTATTCGATTCGCTATTCGAATTCACTTACGAGAATGGAAAAAGCTGCAAATTGCATAGTTTGTTAAACTACTAATTGGGACGCAACCATTGGAATAATTGGATACTACGTACGGCATAGTGCATAGCACATAGCACACACAAACAAAAACAAAAAACGCATCGGTCATAATGCTTAATGCAAATTCTGTCTGGATTGTGCAATTGGTATAAATTTTCTCCGCTGCTGTGCGCCAACTAAAAGTAAAACATACACACACAAACAAACAACAAAATTAAAGAAAACGAATGCATTTTCAAGCGTATTGAAATGGCGTCATGCCCGAGCACAAGCTGTCAGACAGATCGGTCTTTCTGTCAATTCAGTCAGATTGTTCTCTATCTGTCTGTCAGTCCACTGGGCGGCGCGTAAGTATTTCACTTGCATTTGTCTCAAAAAGTAAAAAAAGGAAACTTTAATGGATGTCAAAGAAAACAAAAAGAAAAAGAACGCAAAGCTAGGTAGCGAAAGTAGATGGAAGGAAAAATGATGGAAAGGATAGAATGGATAGAATGGAAATCCGAAAACTACAATTTCAACTTTAAAACGCTTATAATGAAAACAATTTTTGAGAATTTTATATACTAATTTTTACGTTTACGTCTCTGACATACGAGAGTACGAGTATGTGCAAGATAACAAGAAGACCCCCATCGCGTAGGGATGGGTCGAGTACTCGATCTCCGCCCAAGCGGGTATTCGGCCGCGCACTCGGCTCATCCCTACCACACCACACGCGTGGGGGGCCGTTGGGTGCATGAATATCCGGTTCCGTTTTGTTGAATATCGGAAAAATAACGGCGGAGTGCACTTGGCGGCCCCCGACCAAAGACCACAATACACGCCACACAACCACAAGAATACTGAGTTTTTCGAGAAGCGTCTCACCATCACAGGCACCGTTATGACAGCACGGAAATCGCATAACAGTGGACATCAAAATTGCAAAAATCGCGGCATACCGATATCCAAACCAGGCTGCGGACTGGCCACTGGAGATCGGGATGCACACCCAAAAATTCGACCTATCACCAGACACTCGTTTTGCGTTCGGCAAATCACCTTTGACCGGCTGCGATTAAGGGGCTCAGTGCTTGGGGTTAATCAGAAGACACACACCGATTTCCGTACACTCTCCGAGCGGGGGCCACGCCGCGGCTTGCCCCAGCAGTGGGCCATGCAATGGATTGACTAAAATGCGCGCCTACGCCAGCGCAGTTGACTTATTATTTTGTTCTTAAGTTTGACCATTACGAATTCGGACCCTCCTCTACTATTCAGCCGATATTGCATGACCCTCTGCACCGTAGGCGCCGCGACGTGAGTCCCCGTCAACTATTCAAGGTTCGGACTCATCTTGAATCGACTTGGATCGATTAGCCCCCGGCAATTTGAATCGCAGCCCGCAGGAGATTTGATATTTTGCCTCATTTCGCACAAGGAAACACAGCAACAAGAATACACACAACAACACACAACTTTTAGTTATGTTATGACACAAACAACACAAAATATTATGTTTTTAAATATATTTCAAATAAAAAACAAAACAAAAACAAAACCAAAAACAAAAAACAAAGAAAAAACAAAAGTCTAGGCTAAGTTTAAGAGAAATTACTATAATATGCTATTCAAAGAAATCCAAAACTCTACAAACTACAAACAAGAAAAGAAAAGAAAAAAAAAACCAAAAAAAAAAACAACAACAACTAAAAATACTAATTATAGTGCATACATTGATGTAGTGTTAGAATTAAGAAGAAAAAACAAAAAAGATTATATTTCAAAGAGAACCCAAAATTTGAAGAGAGCCGCCAAGAAAAGAAAGTGAAGTAAAGAATTTGTTCATGGATGCCAGAAAACCAAAGACCTAAAAGCAGAGCGCCGATACATATATACATACAGATACCATATATACGAGTAACAACAAGAAAAAATACCATAAATGTACAAGTAAACTATTTTTCTCTATACCAAACAAAAGTAAAACAAAACAAAAAACCACAAATCAATCCTCCACTCCACCATTTTTGCTCCACATTAAACTCTCGATGCAAGCAAAGATTTAAGGAAAGGAAGAGAGAAGATTAGCAGGAGCGAGAGCTCCACAAGTGCAACAGAAGAATCCTGATAAAATTGTTAATTGAATTGTAACAGACTACGCAAGCAAATACGGAATTTAATGTAAAATGTACAATAGCGTCGCTTTAAAGTCTATAAGAAATCCAAAGAAACCCCCACAATTCCGTTTGCCATTACAACAGATTCTATAGAGAGACATCAACAAACACAACACACACGAACGGAAAATAACAGCAAAATAAATGTAACTGAAATAACAAAATTGTGTTAATTTATTCACCAATACTCGTACTATATTGTGGATTGCGGGCTAGGTATATATGTCGGTAAGTACATATGTATATGTACTGGAAATATTGATTTTGTTTGATTAAGCAAAAAAAAATCTTAAATACTAGACATCCTTTCAGTATATAGTGCACATAGTGACAGATGAAGCGAAAAAATGGAAACAGATAAAATATTCTTGAGCCTGACTAGCTGAGTACCGGGTATAAAAGTAATGGCGTGTCTTTAGTCGCTCCTCACAACGTTCCCCCTCGTTTAATTTGATTTTGATTTGTTCGCCCAGGTCATTAGCTCTGGGTGAGAATCGATTCATCAAAATCTTTATTTTATTGTGTCTTTGTGTCAATAAAACAGAGACATTCGAGGCGAACAAAGAACATACAGAATGTATACTCGTATACTCGTATATGTACTACTCATCTGAGTCATTACATAGAAAGGCAAAACCGCAGTGCCGTTTGCTCAGTGCCCGGAATTTTTTCTAGTGCTAACTTCTGAAACTTCTTGCTATTGTTCAGCTTTTCATAATCATGGCTTTAATATTCATTCTTTCATTGTGCTCTTGAAACATCTGCAATCGCAGCTTCTTTTTTTTTCCTTGGGGCCTTATATATTATATATATTTTTTATGTACAAATATTATCAACAGAAATGCATATTTTTTGACGGGAAGCAGCCTCTGACAAAGCATTATCAACCAGAGGTTGTGCTTGGGTTCTGACATTCAATTCTGATAAGGAAACTTCGGATAATTAAAATCAACATTTTTTTGGCTACTGAAATCAATGCAAATAAATACATAATGAATTTACGAAGAACTATAGACGATGGACATAGATCGAAAGACGAATCCCTAAATCTCATCGAAGATGCGTTGCTCCCACCTTCCATTGAGACACAAAAAAGTAATAGCTTAGGAACACCTCTGTTTATTGTTTTTAATTTGCCAGTCTTAGGTAAAAGTAAAGGTAAAGACTGGTGGGAATACACTTTGATCTACCAGGTGCGATCCAGCTCATTATCATCGCCCTCGCACTTGATCTTGATGTTGGTACCGTTCTCCTTTAGCCATGGCTGGGTCCAGATCTTGACGGTGCAGTCCTTCTTGTCCGATCCATTGTCCAATTCTACCTGGTACGTATAGAGAGTACCAGCCACAACTTGGCTCGACACAGAGGTCACATAAACAGCTCTGAAAGTGTACAAACATTCTAGCTATAGAATTCTTACATATTAATTGCACTTGTCTCACTTGTAGGTGGGTCCATCTCCAGTGGCGAGCTGCGACAAGGTGGTGTCCAGCAGAGTAAGTGCCTGCTCTTTCCTCTCCCCGCTTAATTGTGTGACGCCGCCGAGAAGGGTTGCCTGCTCGGCTGAACCCAAGGCACCAGAACCCACGATCATGAGGCCCAGTAGTGTAAACATTTTCGTTCCTTTCATATTGCAGATTTCGTTACGATGTGTACCGCTCGACGGGTAAGAAAAAACTGATCGCTCAGTCGGCGAGCGTGACCCATTTTATACCAGGGAGGGCCCATTTGTATTACCTCTGGGAGGGAACAATGTAGAAATATTGCGTATAAAGAAAAACGGAACGTTGGTTGTGCAAAGATGTTTGCTCCGATTGATGTAACGAATTTTGGCCGAAAACTTCAGTTGCTGCAGCATATCCAGCTGGATCTCCCATGGTGCATGGACTTGGTGGACTCGTTCAGCAAATGTTTCTTCTGGACGGCGTGGATGGCGCCTGCCTGGAGGATGCCTAAAACTAGCCGAAACGATTATTCCCAATAAACCATACAAAAGTATCAGCTAAAGTGCATACAGCCTGTAGTCTTTATATTTCTATTAATATCACTCAATTTATTTGGTTATATGTATGCATGTATGTGTACCTAACTGATGAATCATTCCAAGCTTCGCGGTGGTATATTTCTGATTCCCACACAAACATTGTTAATATTATTCAATTTATTTGGCTATATGTATAACATGGAATATTTGATAAAATACATACAATATAATATATACAATACATATCACGTAAGTGGCTTAAATAATAGATTCAATATCTCTAGTTAGTACTGGGCACAACACTACATGCGCATTGGAGTGTAGGTGTGCCGCTGCTTAATTTCCACCTCTATGGTAAGAACGAGGACTAAGTGACATACTATGATTATAACGCACATGATGAGAAATACGTATAGAATTACAAACTGCTGGCTCGTCTCCGGTGCCAACTATTTGTTGTTATCCGAATCGGAGGAGGCGTTCGAGACAATGGGAGGCGTGGATCGTCCATCGAATTGTTGCTGATTGACCAGGCGCTGTCGCTCCAGGTACATGGAAACCTTGATGTTGCGCACCTGATGGTTGTCGATGAGTTTCAGCAAGGCGATGACGCCAATGCCCACACAAATGGCAAATGATCCCCAGGCTCCAAACTACAAAAGACAAAGAAAAGTTATAAGGGGTGTTCTTAAGAATCTTAAGTATTAGCAGATTTCACCTGTGTGGTGCCCATTTCAATGTAGAAACCCGAGGTATTAATCTTCTCCGTGTCGCCGCGTATAATGTTCTGGCCAGCGGATATCTCGCAGGATGGGAAGCGTTCGGTCATGCCATCGCACCAGACGATAAAGCCTAGGGTAATGAATATGGCAGACAGAATTGACATGGCCAGCATCCAAATTCCCAAAACGACATCAATGAACAGTGCAATAAACGAAGCCTCCTCCTTCATGCGTGCATATCTGTTTGACAAAACAAATGAATCAGATGGTGGAGTTCGAAAGGTAGTGTAGCAGGTACATACCGATATATTTGCACCACTGATATGATGAGCAGGAAGAACCCTGTGATAAGTGGAAAGTTGCAGAAGCCATTCGATGCCCAATTCACATCGAACATGCCGTCCTCCTCGCGCCATTTTCCCGTCGTGAAGAGGAGACAGTGTCCACTGTGGGATGACAAAAGGAGGGTAAGACATTGTTAATAACTTATGAGGGATATATGTACTGCGCATTTGTGTACCAAAATTGATCGAGATTTATAAACAGCGGCACCACAATGCACAGCGACAGTATGAACAGGATAACATGGCCAGCGATCTGACTGAGCAGGAGAACGTTTGCCAGGGCCATTTTGGCTTTTTAACAAACCACAAACAAAAATTCAACAAATTATTTTTATTGTTCCCAAGGGCTGCACAACCATCGATGGCACATCTATAATATCGATGCTTTTTCGACAATCGATATTCGATTTTCCAGGGCTGAAAAGTCCCCTCTGGCAACCAAGAAGTTCGTTAATAGTTACATAAATTACTAAAAAAAATACGTCGTGTCGAAGGAATTTCCACTTCGTGTCCGACGTCTCAAAACAAAACACCGTCCGGAGCGCGAATGGTTTTGTAGCCCTAAACTATCGAACGATGATGTACAGTTTAAAGACAAATTTTGTTTCGCAGCACTGTCATATGTAGTTAGAGGAGGCCCTGGTTTTCGGACCCCCATCTCTAGTTCGCACTGAACTCGAAAAATTGTAAAAAAATTTGTTTACTTTAAAAAAAGGTAAAAGAGTGTATTTAAACAGCACTTGTAGTGCAAAACCAAAGCCCCCAGATCGAGAGGTCTTTCGTGTGCATGTGGGTGTGAGGTGGCTGCGCCAAAACGAGGGGTGGGGTGGCGGCCATGGCAATGTGCTGCAATGTGAACAAAGAGCAATTAAAAAGATAGAGGGGGAACAGAGAAGAAGAATCGGAATAACTGCAGCACTGCTGCTTTGCTTTCTCTCCCCCACACATCCGCATTCCCTCTCAGCTAGCAGGGCAATGAGACGGCAATAGGCTATTGTGAAACGAAAGGTGAAGATCGCATAAGTGAATTGGAAATTGATTGAAAACCAATTTCGTTTTTCCTCTCGTCCGTCGTTCGCAGAAGCAGAGGCTGACGGCAGACACGCTGACGCATCTGAGGCGACTGCAATTCGATGTTGTGCTTATGAGCTAGCAGACAAAACGGCAGCCAAGGAACACGCAGGGGACAGGCCGATGTCTGGATCTGGAAGCGCAGCCCACAGCGATACGTAGCGGATAGCTAAAGGAACTTGATTGGGGAAATTGAACGGCAAGGCAACTGCATTCACGTGGGTGGCAGGTGACCTAATTTAGACGGCAGAAGAAGGTAAGCCATTGGACAGCAGAAACAGCAGCAGCAGCAGCGTCAATCGTGTAACCTGAAACTGATGTGATAGGGCTTATCTTTCAGGGCGATCCCGCGAAATAGTGAACGAGAGAGAGGCACGCTTGGCTGGCGTTTTGGTTTGTCTGTGAAGTGTATAAAGTTCGTTTCGGCTGTTCTCTTATGTTAATTGAACTTAGATCATCAACGTGCACTGCCATTAGCTGTATACCTAAATATATACAATATATATATTAACGTAGCTAGTAGACTTAAACGTAACACAAATCAGCAAGTAGGAAATGTCCAACTCCAACCACTACAACAACTACCAGCAGCAGCAGCCGCACCATTCCAGCAGCAATGGGGACGAGTACCAGCACCAGCAGATGGTCCATCAACCGCATCAGCAGCGTTACTCGAACGGCCATGGTATGAAGAGCGTTGCTGTGCCAGATATGTGCCTCTTCTGCTTCGAGGTGCTCGACTGCGAGCTGAACAATATTGATGGGCCGGGGGTGCCGATTTTCAGCAACGATGCCTATCCCTTGTTCGTCACCTGGAAGATCGGGCGCGACAAGCGACTGCGCGGCTGCATCGGCACCTTCAGCGCCATGGAGCTGCACAACGGCCTGCGTGAGTACGCTCTGACCAGCGCCTTCAAGGACTCGCGCTTTGCCCCCATCTCGCGCGACGAGTTCTCCAGGCTGACGGTCTCCGTGTCTATTCTGCAGAACTTTGAGGAAACCCAGGGCCATTTGGACTGGCAGCTCGGCGTCCACGGCATACGCATTGAGTTTCTCACGGAGCGCGGCTGCAAGCGCACTGCCACCTACCTACCGCAGGTGGCCACCGAACAGGGCTGGGATCAGCTGCAGACCATTGACTCGCTGCTGCGGAAGGGCGGCTATCGCGCAGCCATCACCCAGGAGATGCGCAAGTCTATCAAGCTCACACGCTATCGCTCGCAGGAGATCCAGATGCACTACAAGGAGTACCGCGAGCACTTGGAACGTCGCAGCGGACAATTCGGCAAGGTGCAGTGCTAACAATTAAACAGGCCGGCGGCGAGGCAATGATCCTGGCTGAGGGCGGGCGTGGTGATTGTTGTGCTCCTACTGCTGCTGGCCTTCGAATTGAGCCAGGGTGCCATTGGAGTGCCGCTCACCCACCAGCTGGGCGCCCGCTCGCTTGTTCCGAGTTCTTAGCTCTTTATTTCGATGAAGAAGCTTTTATCCCACACACACACACAAAAGATTTCAAGTAGCTTCTACTTTGTCGCCTTTTTATTACATATACAATTAAATGCTTTATATACTTAACAGTCGCCCCCACACAAGGCGCGGATCCATTAGAAATTTTGAAAGTAAAAATTGAATGTTTTGCATATTTTCGTATTCTTTAAGATCTTTGTAATCGGATTTCGTTTAAGTTCACGTTAACGTTCATTAATGTTGTGGCCCCACCTCCTGAGGCCTTTGCTTCCCTTGCTTTCCTCTTGCAAATCAGAAACAAACAGACACCCACAACAAATATATATATAAATATATATACTATACATATATATTGGGATATATATTACCGAATACCGAATCAATACAAAACGCAGATGATATGTAATTCAAGTAAAACAAAACGTTCAGCAATTATATTAATAGATTTAAAAACTAAAACAAATTACATTACTAATCTAATTATATGCGCAATAAATAAAGAATCGACCCCTTCAGAGTCGTGCAAGACACTGCGATATATTCATGTGGAGTCTGTTCTATATGGAGATGAATGGGTGTGGGGTGGGTGGATCTATCATTAGGAAAAAAGGAAAATTTGGCATAAATGTATTCAAATGTATTGTAGTTTATTGTTCCATTATGTTGTACTTCTAAAACTATTCGATACGATCGATATATACCTACAATATATAGTGTACTGGCTATAGGGGGATTTACGTATGGATATAATCTCAACATTTGTGTGGGTAAGAACATTTATTAGGAGTATGCTAATTAAACACTGCGCTACGCAGCAAAGGCTAAACGAGTGGTCTAACTAAACTAGTAACAGGGCAAGCTAAACTATTTGTGTTTGTATGTTTCTAAAGCGTTGAGCAAATGCTCCAAAAAGTACTGTGGTATATGGTATACATACTCGTTTGCGTAAATATATGTGAATTTGCATATTGATTGCAATAAAGTAACGGGTCTCGTCTCTCTTGATTCGATTCCCTTCAAACTGGCTAATGGCAGATGGCAGAACATGCAGCAAAATTAGTTTATATTTAATATGCATTATTGTATCGCAACAAAACCGTATTCCATCGCAATATATCGTGGCATTGTGTATCTACAAAGCTTGCAGTATTCCTTCCGTATTTGTGTATATGGCAGTCGCAAAACAATTTTGGTTTCACCGTCAATGTTCGAGCGAAAAAAGCAGACATAAGCGTGAGGAAATTCTTTCGCGATCGCTCGATCAGTCTCAGTGCTTGCATTGAAACTGCTCCAAGCACTGGCACTAGGTGGTCGCCAGGGCATTCCACTCGAAACGCGGGTTCTTCGAGTGCGTCACCGGAAGGCACTCAGGCTCCACCAGCTTCCAGACGCCATCCACCTGCTCCACAGTGGCCAGACTGCAGTAGGGTATTTTGTGTATAACCTGTCGCAACTCGTTGGTGCTACGGGGAGCTCCACCAGTCAACTGGCGAGAGCAAGTGTCCAGTGTCGTTGCATGGGCCACCACAAGGATATTGCCAGCTGAAAGAAAATTAAATCAATATTGTAAATTAAAAGGGAATATTCATAAATATGTGGATACACACTTGTACGCTCCAGCATCTGCAACAGAACGTCGTGATTGCGGGTATAAAACTGCTCTGTGGACTCCTTGAGACTGGCGGTCAGCTCTCCCGAGGGCTGAACGGGCTCATATTCCAAATCGATGTTGTACTTGGCCTCAAGCAATTCATTCTTGGTCAGCCAGTCGGGAACACCGCTGGGGTACCAGGCCATCCACTCAAACAGGCCCGGCTCCAGCTTGATCTTGTGCTCTCCGCCCTGCTGAAGGCCCTCCAGGGCGCTGGTGCAGGTCTGAATGCAGCGATACGAGGGCGAGCAGTAGACATGATCGACCTGAACGTTTGCCTCTAACAGAGCCTGGCCGATGAGGCTTGCCTGGAAGACACCCACATTGGTCAGCGGCGAGTCGTTCTGCCAGCCCTCGGGGCTGTTCTTGCGACGGGGAAGGGTCTTGGGCATATTGAGGTCCTTCCTCATGTAATTGCCAAACTCATCGAAGCAGTAGGGTATCCAGGTGCCGAATGTAAAGTCCACTCGCTCCCCATGTCGCATGATGTACACTTTGCGGTTCTTCGTCTGCGAGGCATCCAGCGAGCACGGATGCATCGAGTGATCCGAGTGGACGCTGAGCGTGTCGTCGGGACGCGGTGGCTGCGCTGCCGGTGGTTCCACAAGGATCTCGTCTACCACCTGCTTGGACATCGATGTGGAGCAGGAAGACATATTAGTCGTAATCTCAATCGTGGGTGTGTGCGGATTGTGCTGATGGCTCAAGTTGTGGCTGTTGAGCAATTGCACCGATGGCAGTTCTAGGCAGGGTTTCAGCGTCTGTCGCAAGTATTTCTCCACACTCTGCTCAGACTCTTCAAACGACGAGCCCTCAATTATCTCGGGATGTATTGTGCCTACAGAACACACACAAAAAACAAGTGACAAATAAGTAAGTACAGCGGCTACTGCGACGTAGTGATCAGAGAGTGTCAATAAACTGGAGTGTCAGCGCTTATCACTTCGTGGCTGGATTACATACTTTGGCGCCTACGTTCCTCGGGCTCTGTGGATATGCTGCGACCGTCTACAATGTCCAGATCTTCGGCTGATGTCAGCGAGGAGGCCACACTCTTGGACAGCTGGACAACGCGATGCAGGGTCCAGGCGTCTGATTCGGCAGTGCGTTCGGTGTAGTTGACGGGCAGGTGACCTGTGCTGCCAGTGAGCCAGGAGATTCCCTCGGCCCAGCCGTCACTGGAG